GTGACTCACCCTGGCCAGGCGGTAGGAGGAGCCGCAGAGCACACAGGTTCCTCCGGCAGCGTCCGTGGCGGGTGCCATCCACAGGCCACCTCTCCTGGAAGGAATCAGCCTGAGGCCACGCCTTGCACAACACACTGTCCACGGCTCCATACAGACGCGGGCCGCCAGCTCCATGCCAGGGCACCGGGCCCAGCCTCAGCCAGGCTGCCTGCCCGCCGCCCCTCTGCCCTCGCTGAAGGGCCCGGTGGGAATGTAAATCACACCGCTGCTCCTGGGGACAAGCCTCCTCTCCTCTCCAGAAACAGCCCTGAGGGGCTCCAGCTCACAGCCTGCAGCCAGCAGCTCGGTGAAGGAGCTGGCCCGGCGCAGGACGCCAAGTGCGTGGATCTGGCCCACAGTGAGGTGCCGCCCGGCCAGCTGGGACGCTGCGTGGAGATGTCCTGGGGTGAAGCGGCGGGCGGCTGCCTCGGGCCCTGCCTGAGCTCTGCCACTGGTCACGCTGTCACCTTCCCCGCATGTCTGCCGCGGAGGGACGGGAGAGGCCACGAGGTCAGGCCCTCGGCCCACAGCTCGCAGGCAGCAGGAAGTTCACAGGCCAGCTGCACCGGCCCCTCCCGGGCTGGGCAGGCCGCACGTCCCTAAATCCCAGGTCCTCCGCGCTGCTTCCGCCCCTGCCGCCTTCCCACCCAACACCTGCGTCCACTCCCGGCTCCGCTCTCGGCCTTGGGAGGCGCAGCACGAGGGCCCTCGCGCGCAGGTGAGCGTGAATGGAGCCCTGCGCACGCGCAGCCGGCACGAGGCCAGGAGGGGACCACGCCCGCGCACTCTGTCACTCCAGCAAGAGGGGCCTGCACGCGGCTTCGCAGACACCCTGGGGGTGGCTTGGAGGGACGGCTGCCCCAGGGCCGGCTCCTTGTGAGTTACAGCCGTAGTTTGCATTCGAGCATGAGAAACTCCACCTAGGACCGGAAAGTCTAGGACCGGAAGTTTCCTCAATTGTGTTAAAATACAAACAATCCCAGCCCACGCCAAATGTAAAAATGGACAACAGGCAGTTTTGTCAGCATAATTTTTAAAAACGTTTTATAATTTGACTTTCAATTGATTTATACTTGTTAAATTTCATACTTTGATACTAACACATTTTTTTTCCAGACAGGCATTCACTCTGTGGCCCAGGCTGGCCTCAAACTCATGGTGACCCTCTGCCTCAGCATGCCAAGTGGTGGGATGACAGGTGTGGACCACTCCACCCAGCCCAACACAGTTTTATTGGGCCAAAGAAAAGCCGGTAGGCCCCTGGTGGCGAGTCTGCCATGACTGTGACAGAACACCATAGGTGTAGCTCGTCTTCACTGGCCCTTCCTGCTGTCTCCTAACTTCCGGGAGCAGTTCCCGGGATTGGGCAGCGCCTCACAGCCCAGTCTAGCCATGATTCTCACAGGACAGGCACGGAGGACGGCAGGGTCATTCGCCTCACCAGCCCTAAGCAGCCACCCCATCCAGTGAGGTGCCCACCCTGCAATTCCGTTGCTCTGCACCTATGCACCCTCGGCTGGAGTGGGGGCCCTGGTCTGTCCCTGCAGCACAGCACTGGCACCCAGACCTTCCCAGTGTCATGATCATCGAAGGGGACTTGGAGGAGGAGAGCCCAGGCTCCTCACTGACCTGCTGTCTGAGAATCTGTATTTCTCAGTCTTGGTTACTTTATTGCAAAGTGACAGCCCTACAGGATTTGTCTGAGCCCTGTTGTTGCAAAAGGTGGTGCTGTACTTGCAGAAAAGCTTTCTGGCCAGCTGCACCAGTCAGAGAAAGACATGTTACAGATAGGGAAAAGTTAGTGACACCTGTCATCCCACTACTCAGAACGCTGAGTCAGGGATCATGAGTGCAAGGTCAGCCTGGGAAATGCAGCGATCCCTTATCTAAAAACATAAGGTGACGTGTGAGCCAATTCCTTCTACACAATCTCTTTATGTACATGGAAAGATATTTTTAAAAAGGAGGTAGTTATTATGCGCAATGGAGGGGAAGAAGCCCCAAGATAAGTCATGACAGGTCGCACACTCGTGAGCACTGAGAGTGCAAACTCCAGCCTGAGACCAGGGGAGCCTGCTTGATGCCGATAAAGCAACAATATACAACAGGCCAAGCCTTTGCCTTGCCCCTTCCATGTTTTTTCCACAAAATGTTCTGTTCCAGAAATGTAACCCTTTGTGCTATTTGGTGCTCCTGTCCAGTGTATCAAAATGTTCTGTAAGAAATCATCCAATAACAAATGCTGGCAGGGGTGTGGGGAGAAAGGAACCCTTCTCCATTGCTTGTGGGAGTGCAGACTGGTGCAACCACTGTGGAGATCAGTATGGAGATACCTCAAAGAACTAGGGCTGGAGGTCCCATTTGACCCAGCTATTCCCCTGCTAGTTATCTTCCCAAAAGAATGAAAAGAATCATACACAGCAATATATGTGCACCCATGTTTATAGCGGCACAGTTCATAATAGCGAAAGCTTGGAAGCAGCCCAAGTGCCCGTCAACTGGAGACTGGATAAAGAAGATATCGGTTTTTCATAAAATGGAGTACTACTCAGCCATCAAAAACAAATTAGAGACATTTGTAGCTAAATGGTTGCATATTGAGGCCATCCTCTTAAGTGAAATAAATAGGACACACATGTGTAAATAACAAATAGTTTCTCCAGAGTGAGAAACTGAAAGTGTAAATAAGGATACACACGGATGAAATTGCCTAATAACATATTTCTCAGATTGTGTTTCCATCGCGTATCATATGACTGTATCGAAATTTAAATTAGGGAGAGAAGCTTGGCTTATGTGGAGTCTGCTAACTAACTGGAGTATTTTTCCAGACCACTATTTGTTCATTATTGGTTTGGGGGCGCTTTCTGAAATAAATCACATCCTCTGGTGTCTTGTTGGTGCTTGAGATGCTTTTTTAAATTATATGGAAAAATGTTTAAGAGCTTTTCAGTTTTGTTTTGGTTGAGTTCTACTGTATTTGAATATTATTGTAGTTTTTTTCCCCTTGCATTTCTTCTTTGAATGGTTTTAATTTATGTATGTGTGTGTTTGATAATAAAGGTTTTTTTTAATGTTCTGTAACTGGTTTTGCTGTAGATATGCCTGCCCAATGTATTGAAAAGTGTTCTCTTCAAACAATGAGGTTTCAAGAGTGTTTTGTTAACTCCGCCCGGAGAGTGCCCCCGCTTCTAGCTATGTCTTCACCCTAAAAGGTTCCTCTCAACTTCCTCTCCCCAACTGTATATAAACTGACTCTGACTACAATTCAGGGCTCAGAATTCGGAGTGACTAAACTCCTCTGAGCCAGCCAGCTAATAAAAGATTTTTCTCCATCTCTTTGAGTAACTCTCAGATTCTCGAGTCTGCAAATTGCTGTAGCTGTAACCCAAAGCTGTAACACTCGGCCATAACGCTGAGCTGTCTCACTTTCCCCCAACAGTGCCAGTCCAAGTCCGGCAGCAGGAGTGAGTGAGGCAGGAGAGAAAAGGCTTCCTCAGCTGTTGTTCTGCTCCAGCCTTCAGCTCATGGGGTGCAGGCCACCACATCCACGAGCATCTGGCGGCAGCAGGAGTGTACTCAGCCAATGCTGATGTCCGTCTTGTCAAAACCCCTCACAGAAAGACACAGTGCTCTCCAAAGCACTGGGCACACTGGGGTCCAGCCAAGGGACCCCTGGTATTAACATCACAGGTACTCAGACACCCATAGAGAGCCAAATGAACCCAGGGCCCAACCATTACAATTGTCTGAGCAGGGCCGGGGATGTAGCTCAGTGGTTCCGGCGCCTGCCTTGAAAGCGCAAGGTCTCGAGTTCGATCCCCGGTACCAAAAAAAAAAAAAAAAGTCGGTCTTGGGCCGGGGATTTAGCTCAGTGGTTTCGCTGCCTGCTGCACAAGCTCAAGGACCCGAATTCGATCCCCAGTACCAAAAAAAAAAAAACAATTGTCTGAGCAAGCCATGGCCCAGCAAGGGACATGCAGCCCTGACCAGCACAACTCTGCCCTATTGAAATCACCTGGCCAGTGAGAACCTGGTGGGCTACTGAGATCCACCCACAAGAAGTGCTGGGCCAGGTCCTTCTGATGACTTGAGCCCATCCAAAAAGTCTGGGGACTGAGAGGGGACAGAGGGTGATGGTGTTCACAGACATGTCCCATGGGCCTCAGCCTCAGGGCGAGGTTACTGAGCATGGCTGTCAGGCCCAGCACCTGGTCCAGAGCCCTGTCCAGCACCTGAGCACCCAGGTCTTCCCCAAAGTGGTGCCCATGGCCTGTATGTGTCCCTGGCGATGAAAAAGGCATGCCCCACAAAGAGCCACTTCCGGGGCTTCTGTCCCACCTCAACTCCAAAGGTAGCATGGATGAGCTGGACATGGCTGTCCACATGGGGAAGGCACCACACCCAGCACAACACATGCAGAGCCCCAGGAAGGGCGGCCTCAGGTCCTCTCACCAGCCCACAGCACTGCTCACCTCTGGTTCAGCTTTGGGGCACATCCAGGGCTCTGGCGGGTGAGCTGCTCAGTCCCCACTACCCCTCCCTTGGCCTTCTGGAGCCTGTCTATTCATGGACCTCAGAGCCACATGGATTGCCCATTTCCAAGGTGAGGAACCAGCGTCCTGATCCAGGAGCCCAGGGCCCCAGGCCTCGTCTCTGTGTGCAGGGCTGCAGGAAGCCACCCTGGCTGGTTGAGCATTCTGCCCAAGGTCACAGGGAACACTCTGGGGCTCCTGCATCTGCTTGGCCCAAGCTTCTCACCGGGGAAGTGCAGGTGTGACCTGCAAGGTAAGTGACTCGGTGACCTCACAGACCCAGGCTGTGCATCACCTGCCCCAGTGCTAGTGACCAGCAGTACAGGCAACCCTGGCTCCTCTGAGTCCCCACAATGGCATTCCCTGTCTGGAGATGGCTCGCACCAGCACATCTGGGAGCAGAGGCAGGAAGCAACTTCAGAATACCTTTTTATTGGCTCATAGGGTGGCCACTCCATATGGCCCCACCAGGGGTCACAGCTGTGTGTCTCAGGGACATTTCCCTGTTCTCCACTTCCTCTTTGCACACTTCAGTCCTCTGTGTCTTCCAGCTCCGTGACAGCTGATCCCTCTACATTAAAAAAAAAAAAAAGTATTGTGTCTCAGCTGGAACGCTGAGCAATCCAGCAGCTGAACACATCTACACAGCAGCCACTCATCTGCTCACTCAAAAGCCCGTTTACGATGCCCAGTGCTCCTGGCTGCATCCCTGCTCATCTCGCCACACAGAAACAAGGCAGTCGTGTGTCCTGGGGGCTGGGATCACCATACAGATGTGGCACTGGGTGGGACAGGTGGTGCAGACCCCCGGGCCACAGCCTCCCTCTGCACCTGCATTCCCAGTGGCTCAAGTGCAGCCAAGGCCACATGACTGATGGCAGGGACACAGGCACCTGCCACACACACACCCAACTGAGAGCCCAGCCAGATGTCCAGACTGCCTCGGCAGCTGCCAACCCAGGAAACGCCAGAAGCTGCCAGCAAGGCCTAAAAGCCATCGTCCCTCTTCAGCCACCACCACCAGCAGCCTCCTGCAAGAGTGCTGGATGGTCACCAGTGCCACACTCTACCATCTGCTTCCCACGGGGGACCATGGTACCTGTGGGGCACCAGGAGGAGGTACAGAACCCTGCCTGGAGCGGGGTCGCCCTGACAAAGCTCCGGGGTCAGACAGATTAGAACTCTGCCCTAATTAAAAGTGACTGTAGTGGGTGACAGGGCCAGCCTGGTGCCCAGCGTCTAGATGTGGAGGCCAGGACACCCTGCCCCTCCCAGGACACCACAGGGCCTACCTTCCTCCAGGTTCTTGCCACTCTTCCTGGAGACAATGACACTGGCCGGCTGTGACACCACTTGTCCACCCTGGGAGACTTTAGCAGTCTCATTGCTGGCCTCAGGTGGCAGAGTGGACTGCATGAGAATCTCTTTCTTCTTCCTCCTCTCATGGATTTTTCTGGGAGGAGAGGTTCTCTTTCACCATCAGAGTGGGAGCCAGGAGCTCTGGGGCCCAGGGTCCTCCCTGACTCCCCACACCCCAGTTTCAGGACAGTGGCATTTCTGCCGCACGTCACAGCAGGAGGGTGCTACTCGTCGGTGCACAAGGCGACCTGAGTTGCAGGAGGGCCCAGAGCAGCAGGCGCTTGGGCCAGGGTGAGGGACAGTGACTGCCTGTGTGGCCTGAGCCTGTGCTCCTGTGGCTCCTCCACGGAGATGGAGAAGGAGCCTCATCTCTGAGCTCGAGTCCACAGACAGGCAGGACACGTGCCATAGGCAGGACTTCAGCTGAGTGCTAGGAGCACTGGAGACACCAAGGCTGAAGCAAACACAGCCTCCCTTCGGGGCACCGTGGGACCCTGATCATCCCAGGAAGGGACAGTCCCAACACAAGGAAGGCCAAGAGCCTGGAGCACAGCCGGCCACCGAATGCTGTGCAACAGCCATGGCGCAGGCTCTGAGGGAAGGAGCCGGCCCCTGCCTGCCAGCAACCATCACCCATCCCAGAGAGGGAGAGACAGAGGCGGGGGGCACAGAGAGGGAGAGGGGGAAGAACAGGACCCACTTGTGAACAAGGAAGGGGACAAGGGCAGCGCTGATGATCACCACCAAGGTGGAGAACATGTGCACATAGACTGCAAGACAAGCCAGCTTGGGCGGGTTACTCGGGGAGATGCAGTGGGCAGAGAGGGGCTGCTCGCCACCCTCCCGCTCAGTAACAGTCCCCCAGCACGTCCTGCCCCGGCCCCACCCCGACTCTCAGCTCCTGGAGGGTTCCTGGAGAAGGACCTCAGGGATGGCCCAGGGCAGGGCGGGCCGTGCACAGCCACCTACTGCCTCAGCGTCCTCGGTATTCTGCTCCTGTCCCTGGGGCGAGAACCTGGCCTGGCTCAGGGACGGACTCGCCTCCCCCTCCCTGTCCCTTCCAAGCACTGACACCCAGTATAAAGAGCACATTAGATGTCACAAGTGGGGGTCTGAAGCAGGACTTTGTTGCCATGGAGCTCGGGGGTCCCAAAGTCTAGGACGTGGTGCTGGTGGAGCTGTGGCCCCCAACGGCCCCTGGAGACTCTGCCGCTGCTGCCAGTCCAGGCCTAGATGCCCCTCACCATCTGCCGCTTCCCTGTCCCAGGCTACCTCCCTCTGCATTCCCCTAAGGACACCAGTTGTGTCGGAGCAGAGGTGCATCCTATCCAGTGTGACGCCATCCTAACGACCCCTCGGCAAAGATCCTCTTTCCAAACAAGGCCACATTCACAGAGCCAGGCACGGAGATGTCAGCACAGCTTTGGGGCAGACATTATTCTCACAGGAAGTAAGCGACCCAGTGGCAGGGCTGAGGGAGCTGCAGGGATCTGCATCCCTCGCTGGCCCCATGGGTGTCTGGAAATGGATGTGGATCCCTCACACAGGCCCTGACATCAGAGGACCAAAGAGGGAGAAGACTGAGAGCCCTCAAGGTGACTCCGTCAGCAAGGGTGAAGAGACAGGGTGCTGGAGAGGTTGCGGAGAGGAACAGGGGGGCTGTGTGGCCGTCAGAGACCATGAGGAGGCTGTGCGTGGGACATGGTGGCTCCTGCTTCACTGACGACATCCCAGGGAACTCACTCAGGCCAGCAGAGGCCCCCTAGTTTCAGCTACCACGTGGCTTCCTGGGCAGCCTCAGGCGCTCTGGCTGGGCCCCTACGCCCCAGAGAAAGGCACCCTCAAGGGACAGGCCTGACCCCTCTAAGGGGACACTGAGTGGAGCCACCAAGGCCAGGTCAGAAAGCCCCAGGGCTCCCAGCTTGCTCTTTCTCAGATCACCTGTGTGGGGACAGAGTCCTTGTGCCATGAGGACAGGGATGCTAGGACCCACCCACAGCAGAGCCCAGCCTGCCGGGTGCTCAGGGACCCAGCCCTGCGTGACACTAGGCCATCTGCGCAGCTGAGTTTGGGGTGATTTGGTCCACAGTAATAGCAATCTGATACAACATGTGCCCAGAGAGAGTGCAACTTAAGTGATGCTGACCGAACAGAACCAACCCTGTGGAAATGAACCAATACAGGGCCAAAGTGGATTAAGGAGTGCCTCTCCTACGATGCTGTGTCTTAGCTCGTGACACAACCTTGGAATTGTCTGTGAGCGGGACAGAGACTCGGCCACCGCTGTCACACACATCTGTCAGCACGCTTCTTGATGGGAGCCACCAAGGCAGCCATGAAGTCTCTGTCTCTCCACGGTGGCCAGCAACACACTTTGTTGCAAACCATATGAGTGGCTTTTACTGGAAACCATGTATTAAGATCAGTCTTCCAGAAACAGTAGCAATTGAAGAAAGGATTATTTTCTTTAAGGAATATCTGGGTAACTTCTCCCTGAATACAGTTAAACAAAAGTTTTTAAATCATCTCAGCAACTCCTGTGAAGAAATTGAAGTGAAATTCTGAGGAGAAATGACATGTTAAATAATGTACCCTAAATCGAGACCAAAGAATGAAGACAAGTCTTTCTCTTTTAATTCCCACTTCTTTCTCAAAGATCTAATGCTAATTCTCCAAGTTCATATTCTTAATAATACAGATTATGCCATAACACAATGTGCACTTCAAACCAGCCAATTTAAGAAGCTGGTGAAAGGTTTTCATAACATGGAATTATGTGCACAAAGAACTCATAATACCTTGTCACTGAATACTACAACTTACACAGCACAAAGGTTCATTTGCTGTCTTGAATGAAAAAGATGTCAAAGAAATGAAAAGTAATTCGAGGGCACAGTGAGAACCCAAATGTAGGGCTTACTGCCCAGACTCTTCCTGCAGCCAGCCCGACCTCTTGATTTGAGACGTCAGAAGTTAAGAAAAGCATAGCCCACTCACCCCGCTTAGGAGAATGAAAGATGGCAGGAGGGTTCGTGGGGGCTTCTGTGTGCGAAGGGTGAGCACCCTGGGGAAGTCGGGAGTCCTCTCGGGTTCTTGAGGGCCTGTGTTCTCTTCTGGGGTCCTGAGGGACACCAGCAATCGAGGTGCTGCAGAGAACCCGGTCCACTTTTCAGCGAGTGACAGGCAAAAGGTGGTTGCTCTCATTTCAGCAACATGCCATATAGGCGCAACATTCACGGACCAGCTCAGACAGAGGCACAGACTGAACAGCAGCAGCGGCTTGGATAGGAGTCGCCCTTCGAGCTGCGGCCTGCCCGGAGCAGTCATTTCCCACCTCACTCCGTGGCATCTCTGCCTCACTGGGGTAGGAGGAAGTTGAGCTAACTGGGTGCCAGCTCCGGTACTCAGCCTGGGACTTAACGAGCACCGAGTCCTCAGTGAAATCCTTTTCAGATGCTTGTGTCTATGTCATAGGAGCCACCAGCGGTGACGTTCCCAGGACACCTAAGTTTCCTCAGTGCCCCGAAACAGGTCCTCAAGAAGCTGGACCCCAATGAGGGACAGAAAGTGCACCAGACTCCACGTGGCCACTGCTCCAGCTGTGGAGATCTGACCACCAGCCACCGAGGCACAAACCACAGAAGACGGTGAGTCCAAGGAAGAACCACAGACGACAGCCAAGCCACCACCAGGCCAGGCTCAGCCTCAGGAGACCTGTCAGAGCCCTGGGACCCAGCATGGGGCCGCTGGTTGGCACTGCCAGACCAGCAACTCAGGAGGGTGTCTCGGGAAGACGCTAGCAATGGGGCGGCCTCGCGTTGGTACTGGGAGGACCCCAAGGCCTCTCGGGGGACATCACCATGATGCTTGACTCTCACGAGTCCTGGACTAGGGCTTCAGTAAAGCCCAGAACTCACTTGCAGGGTGGTATTGGCCAAAACGGCATAGCAAGCACATACCAACTCCCACCACCATCAATGCAGGGAGAAAACTGGCAAAGTTGTCAGAAAAAAACTTCAGCAGGTGGGAATTAACCAAAAGCTTGCAGAAAACTGTGGACTCCACATTGGCAGCTGATCTCAACTGGCTCTGGGCACCTCCTCGTCCTACGCCCCTCTCCTGCCTGCCATCCAGCCCCAGCCCACAGTCAGACAAGCACAGAGCTTGGCAGCCTGGAGCCCTGCAGAGCCCCTGCCAGAGGACCACCACCATCTGCCACCATCACCTTCTGCGTCCAGCATTCCCCATCCTGAGGACCCCACATGGGAGGCGGCCAGAACAGGCTCCTCCCCGGCAAATGCTAGACATCATGCCTGGCGGAAGGGGCGCACAGCAGCTCGAGGGAGCAGCAGGCTAAACCAGAGTGGAAAGGAAAGTCCAGGTGCAGCGTGACGTGGTCCTGAGGCTCCCGGCAAGCAGGAAGTGGAGACCCAGGCAGAGCTGACAGAGACAGAGACTGTGTCCCTGGCCTGACACTCTGCCCAGCTACCAGCTGACCACAAGGCTAAACAAGCAGAGTCCTCAGTGGCCTATGCCACCAAAGACAGGCTTTACAGACTTCACGCAGAAAAAAGTCATCAAAGGAAAATAGCACAACAGGAAGCCCTGAGTCAAGGGAGAACCTGATGTCAGAGCTGCCGCATATGTTTCAACATTTATAAGGTCCACTTTTCAACAAGCAACAAAGTGAGACGTGCAAAGAAAGTACAGCCATGCACATGAAGAATGCCACGAACTGCCCTGAGGACGCCCCAACCTTGTCCTGATGAGGGGAGGACTTTAGATCAGCTACTTTAACAATCAAAGGGCTGAAGCAAATAACACCTAATGGGCTAAACTATGGTAGGAGAACAGGATTTCAGTTCCCACCATTTCTGTTCACCATTTTACTGGACATTTCCATCACAAAACAAGAAAAGAAAATTAAAGCCATCCAGACTGGAAAGGAAGAAGTAAAACCATCTGTATTTGCACTGATTTTGTATAGAAAATCCTAAGGAATCACCCAGAAACTAATACTCAAATTCAACAGGGCTGCAAGTCCATACACAACACTCAGCTGTATCTCTATCTACTGCCTGAGGACAGTTTGAAAATGAAGTTAAAACTATGACACTCGCAATAACAATGTCAAAACACATAAAATACATGGGAATAGATTCTTAAAAAGAAGCTCCAGGTCAGTACAATAGAAACTACAAAATCTTAAAGAAATCAAAGGCCTAAATAATAGAAAGACATCCTTCATCCATGAGTCAGAAAAAGTAACCTTGTGTGAATGGCAAACTCTCCAAATTACCTCCAGATTGGATACCATCCCTGTCAAAATATCAAAGGTCTTTTTTGCAGAAATTAATCAGCTGATTCTAAAATTGATACGGAAATGCAAGGAACTCATAATAGGCAAAATAATATTGAAAAGGAAAAATAAAGTTGAAGGTCTCGCACTTTCTGATTTCAAATTTTACAACAAAGCTACAGTAATAAAACTATGAATCTGGGCATGGAGGCACACGCCAGTAATCTCAGCACTCCTGGAGGCTGAGGCAGGAGTATCACAAGTTCAAAACCAGCCTGGGCAACTTAGTGACTTAGCAAGACCCTGTGTCAAAAATTAAAAATAAAAGAAGGTGGGCCAGAGATTTAGTTCAGCGGTTCTGCCACCTGCCCTGCAAGCACAAGGACCTGAGTTCGATCCCCCGTACCAAAATAAATAAATAAAAGAAGGAGAGCCGGGGACATGGCTCAGTGAGAAGGCCCTGGGTTCAATGTGTAGTCCCCAGGAGCAGAAAATAAACCCTTCACAATACAGTGCTGGCTCAAGATGGACATGCAGACCAGGAACAGAATTGAGAGTCCAGAGTGCTAGCCAATTGATTTTCAGTGAGGGCGCCAACTCAAAGGAGGAAGCACAGTCACTCCAAGAATGGAGCTGAGAACTCAACATTCACTTGCCAAAGAATGGATTCATGCCCCGATCTAATACAAAATAACCTCAAAATGAACCAAAGACCTACATGTAAAAGCTACAACGATGGAGCTCTCAGAAGACACTATCAATATAAATCTCCGCAGCCTTGGTCGAGGCAACGGTTTTGCTGCGTCTGGCAGAAGTTCTTGGAGGTAGGAGGCCAGGGGCTCGGAAAGAAGATGCTCCCCGTATGTGGGGGGCTCCTAGGAGTGCTGGGATCTCCTGGAGGGAAGAGGGCCCCCAGGTCTCCCAAGCTGAAACCTGAACGAGACACAGGCACCAGAGGGTCCCCTATGACTTCGTTTCCACTTTGGGAGAAGTCGGGTCCCATCTTCTCTCCGAGCACCAGGCCTGCCCGGGAGGCGGGCGGACGCCCTCTGCAGAGAGCCGAAGCCCTGCCCAGGCCCTTCCTTCCACTCCTGGGCAGCCCCAGAGTGTGTGCCCAGCAAGGAAAGTGGACAGGCCGTGTCCAACTGGTGATGCAGAAGGAGACAGACACAGCAAGGGGAGAGGGGTCCATCTAAAGCAGGCAGGGGTGGGGTAGAAGGAGCGCTGGGCAGTGAGGGTGGACAGCAGCAGAGCCCAGGTGACCTTCCTGTTTCTCTCTGCGGGGAGTGAGGTACAGGCCGCAGCCTGGGCCACCCTTGCTGCTGGAGTGGCCATGACAGGGCGGGAGGTGCAGACTTCAGTGCAGCCGAGAGGGCTGGGAGACGTGGACAGGCCCGAAGCTCCCAGACCCAATGAGCCCATGCCCAGCACCAGGGTGTACTGCTCCTCTTGCTCCCCAGGACGCCCTGGGCAACAAGAGGGGCCCATCTCTCCTGGGACCTCGCATCTCCTTTAGGAGCTCAGTGGGTGAGCGGCCACCCCTGCTACTAACACAGCCCCAAGGCTCACAGGCCTGACTGACCCCAGGCCGGGGAAGCCTGGCCGGGTCTCCCAGCTGTGCTCAGTCCCTGGCAGAAGCTCCCCAGCTGGCCCAGGCTCCTCTGGCCACAGCGGTCTCCACGTCTGGCCCTCGGTGGCCAGACGTGGACATCAGTCACTCCCGCCTGCAGCAAACCTGGCGGTCTCACTCTGTGAACCCATTGGGCAGAAGGGGGCAGAACAGAGGGGGAGCGCGAGGCACTCACTCGGCATGACCTTCTCGTAGCAGATGCTCTGGTAGAAGCAGCACCCCAGCTCCTTGCAGCGGGCCCGGGAGACGTTGTAGTCACAGGTGGTGTGTAAGGGGATGTCGCACACGGCAAGGCACAGACACGGCACCAACACGGGCGTCGAAGCCCGGCCAGGAGGGTGCGCGATGGTGGGTCTGGATTGTGGCCTCGGTTCCTTTGAAGTTCTGCATCACACACGTCTAGCTTCGAAACGCAGATCTAGAATGAATTGAATTTCTGACAAAATAACGTGGCTCTAATGTCATAGGTCCAGGGTGATCGGGAAGAGGAAGAATCTCACAGAGCCACGCCAGGCACGAACGTCCCACGGACCTCGGAGCGCAGGGCTGAGGCCAGGCCAGGGAGGTCAGCCAGAGATGTGGTGCAGGGAGCTCACAGGGCAACTGATGGTTACTGCAGAATTTAAAGTCGGATCCATAGGACAGAAAGCTTGTTTGTTTACTGAGGTACTGGTGATTACACCCAGGGCTGTCACACCGAGCTACATCCCCAGCCCTTTTGAAGTTGTTTTTTGTGGGGTTTTTTTTGAGATAGAGTCTCACTAAGTTGAATCTGGGATCCTCCTGCCTCAGCCCTCTAGAGTTCTTGAATTACAGGCATGAGCCTGTAAGTGCCAGCTCTGACCCCCAAAGGGAAGACAGCGAGAAGGCAGGACCACAGGAGCACAGCAGCAGACCATTCCTGGCAAATGACCACTAGCAGCCACCGGAAGTGCATTCCCTGCTTGTGTGGACGTGGGAAACAGCCACACTCTGCCACCCGTGAACCGCAGGCTGGAGGGACAGAGGACGCTGCTCCTGACTGCAGCAACCCACAGGCCAGGCAAGCCCTGGGGTCCCTGCTGTGTTCCCTGCCGGCTGTCCGAAGGCTGGGGACACCCACTTCCTGCCTTGCATGATAGACAACCAAGTTAGGTGAAGGCAGTAGGCGGCTAGAGGCCTGGGCGCACAGGAAAGCCAGGGTGGCCAGGCCTCAGTCAGGTGAGCAGGAGCCTGGGGTCAGGGTTAACCAGGACAGTTAGTCCAGGATGTGACAAGCAAGGCGACAGCAGGGTGAGGGGCGGCCACTAGGAAGAGCTGCTCCCGCCAGTCCGGAAAACGATTTCCCTCTCACGCTGTTCTCTAATGAACCACTTGTGCAGAGCAGCGGGCACACACCCTGCAGACAAGCCTGGCTCCTCGCAGGCCCCTTTCTAGCTTAGGTCAGCGTGTCTCAGCCCACGGGTCAACCTGAGTCTGACTCAGAGTGGCCTGAGCCCTGCACACTTTTTGGTCTAAAAATTCCTAGACAAGAGTCCCTGCAGTCCCACTTTTTGGTCCCCTGCCGACTATTGGGAGCTATCTCTCTCTTCCTAACAAACGCACCTCCTGTCCACCTCCTCTGCCCTCGACCTCATTCTCCCACCTCGTGAGACACGGATCCAGGTGATGCAGCTTCACGTGGACAAAGCCTAACTCCCTGCTCAGTCCAGCTGTACACTGAAGCTCTCCCGTGGAGCCGCTGGCTCACCCCTCCCCGAGACCCCTCTGCTTCACATTTGGAGATGCTGCAAATGTTCATTTTAAAAAGAATTGTTGCAATAAAAGACCATTAAGGGGATACAGTGAATCTCCCCCAAAATCTTCCCTCTTGCTTTGAACACACTCATCCCATTGTCCTTGACCTTTTCTGTTTGGTTGGTTGGTTTTTGTTTTTTTTAAATAGCGTCTCAAAATTTAGTTCAGGCTGGCCTGGAACTCACAGCGATCCTCCTGCCTCAGCCTCCCAAGTGCTGGGATTACAGGCGTGTGCCACCTCGCCCAGCATCATGTTTTCAAGAGGCTGCCTTTTCATTGGATGGCACTTGGCAGCAACAGTCACTATATTTTTGATCACACCTTATAAAGACACTCAGGAAAGAAGACTCCAGAGCTGCTGCAGGAAGTGGCCAGAACCAAGGGATCAGTGTTAGAAGAGAGGGAAGGGCTTTGAGGGGATTCATGGCTGTGTCTTTTACTGTAATCAATTTTTGGGGGGGTACCAGGGATCGAACTCGGACCTTGCGCTTGCACGGCAGGAGGTGGAAGCACTGAGCTAAATCTCTGGCCCTGTAATCACCTTTTCAATGTCAACATTCACCATATATTTTGATCACAACTCATCTATTTGCCATCTGATATGGAAATGCCTCTGACGCTTTAACTTCCTGGGAAACAGTTAAATATCATTGCTCTCCTTGCACTGTTTATGAAACCTTAGGCGTGGCTGTTTTTATAATAACATTTAGGAAATGGAGACTCCGCCGGGTTGCCTGTGAAAACCTGAACGTCCCGAGCCCGGTGAGGCAGGCTGGACACAGCCCCAGCCCCCTCATTACCTGCGAACTTCTGCAGCAGGTGTGGCTTTTGGCTTCTTGACTTTTGGCGCATACCTCATGGTCACAGCTGCTGGGACACACCGGGTCAGAGCACCTGAGAGGCAGACACTCCGCGGGTGGCCTGCAGATGGCCCGGCCCGGCCCAGACATGAGATGGCACAGCGCCCCACCTGTCTCTGCATCCTGGCCGAGTCCCTCTCAGAGTTCTCCAAGTGGGAACGACTTCCTGTACCACGAACTGGCCACCTCCTCCCATTGGCTGCTCCAGGGAGCCTGAGCCAGGCAGGCCACTCCTGCTGTGACATCACAGGGCCCTGTGAGGTCACATGTGTCACACAGCCGTCACTCCAATGAGGGGCTGATCCCAATGCTGCCTGTGCCTGGTGGCCAGGAAGGAGGTCGCGGTGCAGCGACGTCATCCCTGAGGGTCACCCAGCCTGGCGGAGGCAGACGTCTGACTCCTGCCCAGCCTCCCCTTGGGCCTCAGTTCTGTCGCTCCTCCTGAGGGAGGAGAAAGACCAGACTTCTACGGGCCCAGACTGTCATGTGGAGGAAAATACGCAGCAACTAGGGTGCTGGGGCAGGGAGGGTCACGGCCTCAAGGGGGAGCAGGTGACATGGACAAGAGAGGCAGCAGGAGCCAAGCCCCGGTGAGAAACTGAAGTGGGAGGCGCGGGCACAGGTGCTCGATTTCCCTGCCACCGCCCACCCAGGCCAGCCAGCTGACCGCACCTGCGGCCCTCCTCCGAGCAGACCGTAGCTGGCCACGCTCCTGGCGGCTTCTGCCAGTTGTTGCCATGGAAGCAGCATCCCGAATAATGGACTCTTCCCACTGCGCAGGCACCGGTTTTTAATTTTGTAAGGCTGCAATATTTGGAAGAGATGCCACTTACATCCGTCTCTCCATTATTGAATGTCAACCGCTTTTGTTTACACATAAACAGAGCTAATTAAACATCTGGGGAGTGTGCACAGCACCCTCTCGGGCCAGGTCCAAGAGGGGCTCCCGGAAGCGTCCAGCGGCTCCCTGCCCTCCACTTCCTGTTGCTCGGCTGTGCCTGATAGAGAGGTGCTGTCCAATAAGACAGGCCCTTGCCTTGCCTCCACTGCTTTTCCACAGAATGTTTCCTTTAGGAAATGTAAGTTTGTGCTGCTGGGCTCCTGCCCAACGTATCAAAATGGTTTGTGACTGAACTGTGCGACCTTTCAGGAATGTCCTGTAACTCCGCCCCTCCACTTCAGGAATGTTCTATAACTCCGCCCCCTGCTGCAGTGAGCATGCTCACACAGCACGTGTTTCAGGAATGTTCTGTAACTCCGCCTACCCTGTAGATCCCTATATAAAGAGGCTCTCCTTTCTGGTCGAGTACTCAGTAATAAAGGTTTTTTTCTCCACCTCTTCAACTGATCATCAGATTCTCCAGTCTTCAAATTATGAGAGCTGCGTTCCAGAGACTCCACACTGGGCTGTAAGGCTCAGCCGTGTCTCAGAGCTGTGGCACTTGGCTGTGACACTCAGCTGCTCTGGTCTGGTCTGTTGCAACGTCCCGGCCAGGAAACACAGGTGCAGCTCCTTCAGGGGGCCTGCACCCGAGGGTAGGTAGAGGACACAGATGGCAGACAGAGGGTGGGACACTATCCCCTCACCTCCTTTACTCCCTCCACACGTATTTACTGGATGCAGACCTCTGCTTCATGCAAAGACAGCAGTGGATAGGTCAGGGTCCTTTTCCTGTGTAGAGGGCTGTAACTGACCAAATGCACAAGGCCATCACTACGGCTTGAGCTATGTCTCCAGGATGTGTTCGATCCCCGACTTCCAGCTCCTCTGAATGTGGCTGCCCTTGGGACCTCGGGTCACTGCCTTCGTGAATCAGGGAAGGCGAGGCCCACTGGGTGGGGGAAGTTCGGACGGAGACACTCAGGGCTCGAGGCAGAGACCGACGGGTGCTGCTGCTCCAAGCCAAGGGGACTGGCCTGATGGTGGCCTCGTGGCCCCTTCCTGCTGCCATGGAAGCCCCATCCTCGGGGCTCCTGGAGCTCCTGGAGCCCACCCCACTGTGCCCAGGGACCTCAATGCAGCCCTGCAGCTGAGCCGCAGGTCAGTTTAGTCCCCACTGGGACCCCACAGGGCCCTGGAGTCTCTCCACCTTGTTCCTCCAGAGGCGCTCACCCGTCTTGGTGTTCTGTGTTTCCATGTGAGACGCGGAAATCAGGCCAGGCGCAGTGACACATGCCTATAACTCCAGTGCTCATGAGGCTGAGGCAGGAGGACTACAAGTTCAAGAAAAGCCAGGGCAACTTGACGACTTAGTGAGAACTTGTCTCAAAATTGAGAAAAAATGCTGGGGTTGTAGCTCAACACAAGGCCCTGGTTCAACTCTCAGTACCACAAGTAGATGAGTGAATGAATAATTAGGGCTAGGGATGTAGCTCATGCAAAGGCCCTGGAGTCTACTCCACAGTACCACACAAATTAAAAAGCAAAACTGCAAAAAATTTTCAAGATCCAGAAAAGAGGATAAAGCTGTAACTTCGGAGGTCTTATCAGTATGGCATTGAATCTGTAAAGCAATTGGGAAAATTGACACCTTTACAATTAAAATATCCATTAATTCTGACCTGTGATTTCTTTCATAGTGTTTTCTACATGAAGATCTCATTTATCTTAGCCAGGTATGGTGGCCATGCCTGTCATCCCAGCACTCTGGGAGGCTGAGGCAGGAGGATCACAAGTTCCAGCAAAGCCTGGGGAATTCAGCAACTTAATGAGACTGTCTCATAATACTGAAATTAAAGATTAAAAATGAAACAAAAAGAGCTGAGGATGTAGGTCACTGTGAAGGCCCTGCTTCCACTCAGTAACCCTACCTGTCTTACATATTGTATTTAAATATCTATATTTGAAATTTTGTTACTGAAGACATTGTTTTCCACTGGTTCCTAACATACAAAAATCAATTTCTATATGGACCTTGAGTCTAGCACCATTCATTCTAATTAGCTGTAGATACTGTCGCGTTTTGACATGAACAGTGTAGCTGGGAACAGTGACAACTGTCCGCGGCTCCGCCCTCCCTCGCAACAGCTGACGCTTTCTGGCCCTTGTCTCCGGACAGCCTGTCTGCACCTGGACCTGGCCGATGCTCTGGCTGAAGGGATCACCCTTTCACTGCTAGTTTGCCGTCAGCCTCATCCTCACAAACACAAGCTGCATTTCACCAAGTTTGGGAACGTAGTCATGTTTCCTGTAAATGTGGTACTTTTTTTTCCTTTTACTCTTAAACCAAAGTTTGATCCTTAACCCACTTTGGGTACTGTATACTTTTTTGTTTTGGAGACAGGGTCTCACTGTGTACCTCAGGCTAACCTCGAACTCACAGCAACCCTCCCACCTCAGCCTCCCCAGGGCTGGGATCATGGGCATGTGTCACCACACTCAGCAGGCTACTATATACTTTTTATAGATTGAGAGAGTCGCTGTTTTAGTCACTTTCTCATCACTGGGACAGAGTACCTACAAACTTAAGGCAGGGCTGCTCCAAGGCAGGGCGGCATGGCAGAGGGGCCTGGCAGAACAGAGCTGCTCACGCTCACGGAGCGGGGCGGGGGGACAGGAAGCGGAGAGAAGGGAGGAGCCTAGAGGGGGCGGAACCTTCCAGGCCCCTCCCCATGACCGCCTCTTCCCGCCAGGCCCCGCCTCCTGACAGCAGACAGCTCTGAGCCCCATGGTCCAATCCGAGGCCCTCGGGGCCACCCCAGATGTTATGGCCGTGCCTAGCTGTCCCCCAAAGCCTCACGCTGTCAGCTGGGGCTTTTTCAGAGTGGCTGGATCGAGTGTGTGATGCTGGAACTGACTCATGGTGTGATGCGAGACTCACGGGCACTAGGACTAAGGGTGCGAGTGCTGCCGCCCTGAGAAGTCTGGATAAAGGGACAGACAGAGCTGTGGTCCCTTGCTTTTTTTGGGGGTCTTCTGCTTGCCATGAACTGCTGCCGGAGCCAGCGGATTATGGACTGAAACCTGCTACAAACTGTGAGCTGAACAATCTTTCCCCTTTAACTCTGGGTGTCGGGTGTTTTGTCTCAGCAATGAGAGGAGGAGCTGAGACACCAGACAGACCTGCAGGCCGCACTCAGGGTGTTTCCTCCAGCACTTCCCCCTTCCCGCTTGCTTGGCCTCGTGCTGTCCCCGCCCAGGTCACGGCGCCATCCTGACATGAGGTGCCCAGTGTGGACCCCACCTGCACCTCCCCAGGACCCGTCTGGAACCCGCCTACCCCAGCTGCCTGCCGCCTGTGCCTTCGCAGTCGCTAGTAGGGACACGCTCGGGGCCGCGACCTCAGCTCTGGTGTCTGCTTTTCCTCGCGTCTCTTTGTAGCCGCATCAGGAGCGCGTCCACCCTCTTTGTGGGACAGTCCTGGGGTCGCGGCAGCACAGGCGGTCACCTCCTGCCAGGCTCTCTGCCAGGCGCAGGCCTGGCCCAGCAGTGCCCGCTGTGACTTCGGTTTCCGGCCCCAGACCCTCACCTTTCCCTAACCTCATTCCCTTCAAATACGCGCGACCTGATTCCGAAGGCCAATGGGATCATTTCCACTGCCGGTGTCACACGAGCAGCTTAAAATCTAAAAAGCCCCCGAAACACCCAGCAAAGGCACCGAAAGAGGAGGACTCGTTTTGTGGAGTAAGAAAAATAACAGTTTAATAATTACACCGACGAGCACGCACATCGCACGCACATCGTCGTCGCCCACACCGGGCCGCCGTCTGAGACGCTGACGTTGCCGGAAGCAGGAGGCTGGTGGGGTGTGGACCTCGGCCGTCTGACAAGAAAGTGCTTCTCGTACAGCACGGGAGATGGCTGCTTCTCAGCCCTGCAGGACGAGCGCCACGGAGCAGCCCGTACGGCCGGCCGCACAGCAGAAGGCAGGGGTGTGCGACAGGGCACTGTGAGCGAGAACCGCGCGCACACGCACACACCGACCTCGGCTCCCAGAGCCCGGAAGACGGAGCTCGGGACGGAGAGCAGCGGCCGCCTCCACCTCCACCTCAGTGCCAGCCCGCCGAGCCACGGTACACACGCGAGTTCTAGGAAACGCTCCGGGCTACGGTAAGGCAGGTCTGCGGGACGCCGTGCCGGCCGCGGAACCCCAGGAGAGCTGTTCCTGAGTTAGAATCTGCTTTGACGACAAGCCACTCACACCAATGGTTTCCAGGGCAACGTCCACGTGTCACCAAAAACACGTGTAGAAACAGGGCTTATAGAAAAGGAAAAGGCTCGATTTTTCTTGTCCCAGCACAGATGGATAAAACGCTAACGCTGGGAAGTTGGCAATTGTAGTGAGAGGTCTGAGCAGGCACCAGAAAAGCAACTCGGTCCGAGGCGCCCGGCCAGTCTCCAACGCAGATCCGCCCGCACTGGGCCTGGACTCAGCGTCCCACCCGGTGCCACACAGCCTGTCACGCACAGCCCGCAGCGCCAGTTCGGCTCCTGAAGACACTTTCTGCGGAAAAGCTGAGCCCACCTCAGCTCTGCCCTCTGCGGAGGAGGAAAACGACAGCGAGGTTCTCGTGGGCACTGCCACGCACTTCCAAAGCAGACTCAACCCCGGGCCCGTGGGCTGGGCCCCAGAAGGCAAGGCGAGCAAAGACAGAGCAAAGACCGCCTCGGTGCTCGTGTCCTTGGCATGCGGCACAGAGTGGTCGGTCCCGAGTCTGGGCAGCTGTGGCCTCGCTGAACCCGAGGTGTATTGCTGTATTCATGCTGAGAGAGGAAGGCGATGCCCAGTGGGTGCTAAGCGGTGTGGCCGTGCCCGCGGGAGGACGCCCCACGGGGAAGGCCCACCATTGGCAACTGCTCCCAGCACTGCCTCGCTGTTTCCATTGGCTGCTTGAGCATAATAAATAATTTTATGTACAGGCTCTCGCTGTCTTTTGGGGGGAGGACGGACAGTGCACTTTGTCAGGATTCTCTAGGAGCCTCCACGGCAAGTCTGCGTGACCCCTGCAACGCTGCGGGCACCCGGACCCAGAAGAGCAGACAACCCCGCCAGATGGGCTCCTGCTCTCCTCAGGGCCAGGGCGACGCCCACAGCCAGCACTGCCCCAGCCTGGCAGCAGGCAGACCGGACTCTGCTCTGGGGGGGGGGGGGACGGGACGGGACGGGACTCGCAACAATCGACCAGCAGGACATCCGCTTAGAGCACCATGGTGACGGGTGGGGCGGGCCAGTCGGGCCCCGGCCCAGAGCACAGGGCCCTGGCTTCCAGCACCTGAGTGGTCAGTGGGCTGGGAGTGCCGGTGGAGGTCAGCCCAGGCGGAAGCCGTGGGTGTGCATTCCAAGCGGCACTGACAAGAAGGGTGCGGAGTGCGTTCCTGCATGACGAGGAGTCTGGAAGCCAGGGCTCTGCCAGGTACTGCACTTATTGCAGGTGAGGTAGCGGTGCCGGCAGCGAGGCCCACACAGCTCGGCTTGCGTCCTCGGCGTCTACGCCTCAGGCTGGGTTCTTCTGAGACACTCAGTCCCCAGGGTCACCCGGCCTGGGCCACCCCCGCCCCGGGGAGCAGAGATCCTCCTCACAGGTTGGTCTCATCCCAGGCGGGGTCGTTCATGTTCTTCAGCACCTTCCGCACCAGCTTCTCCAGGTCTCTGCGGGCCCTCTGTTCCTCCTCGAGCGACTTCTTCATCTTTTTGTTATCCTGAAAGTGAAGCAGACCACCACAGTCACTCCCCTGGGGCCAGAGCTACTGCTCCCCAGCTGCTCCCTAAACCTCCTGTTTTTGTTTTTGTTTTTGAAAGGGAGACATGACTTTATTAGAAAAATAAAAAACTGAGGTGATGAGTTTGTCTTCAACGAATGCCCTGGTGGATAAGGCTGCTTTTAGCTGCATTGGCCTTCTCCCGCTCCCTTCTCCATGCAGGGTCCAATTCAAAGCAGTGCCATAGCCGTAGGGTCTCATCAGCCACCCATGGCCTGGAGAACAGCAGCCCTAGCAGCTAGGGCTGAGGCCCATCCGCGGACATTCGGAAGCCAGGCTCCTGCAGGAAGCAAGCGCTCCCGGGAGCATCAGTCAGGCCACGTGAAGGGTGTCAGACACACAGGCTTCAATACTGTGGGCTTCGCTATGAGAAAGCCAGGGGCAAACAAAGAGCACCATAGAAGGTAGCTAGCGGGAAGCAGGAGATGGGTCTCTGGTGAATGGGAAGGGGCCGAGACAGGCAGGGAGGCAGGGAAGGCGACAAGAAGAGTCGGGATGTGTCACGCCCACGCACCAGTCCCCGCAAGGACGCAATCACTGTGAACAATCACCTGCTCTCTCACATCTGCAAAGACCAAGGGACCGGAGATTTAGCTCAGTAGTTTCACCGGCTGCCTCGCAAGTGCAAGGACCCGAGTTCAATCCCCGGTACCACAAAAAAAAAAAAGCCCTCACATCTGGAAAGACCAATGGCTTAATGTGCTGGATTTCCAAACATCACTATCTCCTCTTGGTGTTTTTTTCCTTATAGGCAATCAGTTTCATTTTTAATAATTAAAAGATTAAAACACCCAGTGCACCTGTCTCAGCTCTTGGACTTCGTCCCTCAGTGCGTACACAGTGTCCACGAGGCTCCTGCAGGGGAACAGAGCGTCAGCAGGGAGCACGCCAGGCCGCAGTCAGCGGGGCAGCCGGGCGCTCCAAACCCCAACTCTCAAACAGCCCACTGTGTGGCCGGTGACTTCTCCACACCGCCCTCGGGGGGTCTTCCCACTCAGCTCCCACTTGGGGACAGAGGCCCTGGACATGCTGGGAGACATCTTACTTTTCCTCTATCACCGTCTGACCATTACTTTTCGTTTCTTCCACTATGATTTTCTCTTCTTCTGGAAGCAGAACTTGTGGAGCAGATTCTTTGCGTGAACCTAGGACGGTTAAAAAAGGAAAACCTCAGGTGAAAGCCAGGCACTAAGAAAAGGAATGGACTACATAGCATTACCTAAACACTAACCTCCAGCGACTACGCAGTGACAAAGTTCATCACGACAGACTAGGAAAGGGCATCTTCTACCCTCCTCTGCCTGACTACCACAGCATTACAGAGGAAAGGAAACCCCAGCGTTTTTCCAATTTATTAAACTTTAGTCTCTGGTTCTGGATTACAGATCTTTTAGACACTAACATTTTCAACATGAAGCACATCAGAAGGTCTACCCACACTGTCCTGGACATTCAACCAAATTTTAAGTCATTGTATCACTCCAGAAATTTTAGAAAGATATACCAGACCACGTAGAACATATACACGCAGAGTTTATAAGCTAAAAACTTGGTAATTGCAAGAATTTAACGCTACAGCAACATATGAAAATAAAGATATAGCTCATGGGTTAGGAAAAAATGAAGTTTATTATCCTGTTATTTTATGAAAACTTTATCCTCCATTCCCTGGAATATATGCATCATTTTTCTAAAAGAAACAAAGTAAACTGCAACATCAGAGGAAAATTTTATGCCATTTAACCAGCACTGAGCACAAAAGCTTGCATGGGGCAAACGAGACAAGATCTACCCTTTTGAAGTCAATTGTGAAACCCAATGACTCACTTCATAAGGGGAGGGAAGAGAACCAAATCTTAGGTAATGATGTGAGGAAGGGAAGATTTCCTTAAGGATGCCAGTGTGACAGCAGGCACCATTTGTACTTGGAAACCTTGCAACCACGCCAGTCGGGGGCAGGACATGATCTACCACAGAACACAGGCTCTCGAAAGGCAGGATGTGATGCATGACACGTTTCTCTCTGAGAAAAGTGCACTGTGGCTGGAGACCTGCGGCTACCCACAGCAGTGGTGGCTAGCCTACGTGGCCTGCGCCTCTGACGTGCCTGCCTCTTGTGTCCCCAAAGTGTCACCCTGTGCATGCACTTGTTGCACACTCTTGTCACCATGGAAACCTCGGGATAACAGAGACCTTTTAAAGGCAGGACTGCGGAGTACAGTGTGGAACGGTAGGCCTGGCCCTCTCCAAGCGGACCAATCACCGGTGGAGGGCTCCCTCAATGTCCCTGCCGGCCTCGGGGGCAGCTCAGGACACAGCCCCGGGCAAGGTCCCCAGCCAGCCACCTGTGCATCTGCTAACACCTCCATCCAAGGGTCCCCCGAAAAAGCAGAAGGCAGGAGCCTGACCAACGTCACACTGCCATCCTCCACTCGTCAGGCACGATTCTGTGTCACCCGGGGCGAGCGCCACGAGAAGCACATTTCACACCACTGCACGGAGGGGCTTTGAGGAACCCAGGGTGACTCTGTCTTCTGCTCGAACACCAGTGCTCCTGTCCATGCTGGGGGCGGGGGGCGCCCACAGGCCCCAGTGGGCCCAAACCTCCCACCTGCCCATGGTGGCCTGGCCTCAGGGTCCCGGAGGGGAGCACAGTTTCAAACACATCACTAGGCTAACAATGCCTGCCAGACATCTGACAGGTGCAGAGACGGGCAGAGGCCCCTTCTGGATGACGCTGTCTTCCGGGCCTCTCATGGGCAGGAGGGCACAGCTGCTGGGACATGTGGGCCACGAGGAAAACACAGAGACCAGCTGCAGGCAAAGCCCCGGTCCCAGCCAGGCAAGCTCCTCAGGCCTCCCACATGTGTGCAATGTTACCTGTCTTCCAAAGGAAAAGTGAATTCCTGTGCAGTCTGCACAGAAAAATACAAAAGGATTCTAAAGATCAGGTGTTATATCACATGTAGAGAAAACAAATGCCTTGCTGAATCTCCCAGGGTGAGAAACCAACTGCTAACAGTTGTGACAGTCAGATCAAAACCAACTCTCAGTGGTGACTCTGTCACGCTCCACTTGCAATGTGCTGCTTCTAAAGGACTAGTCCTGTGACTGTGCTTCAGGCAGGGTAAATTCCACGTATCTCTTTTCAACTGCTTTGGTCTCTTCGAGTGTGTCCTGCATCCGAGTTTCCAAACGTCACAGAAGAGAAAGTCGCAGAGGCTGCACCGCAGAGCGCAGCCCTGGGGACCCCGCTGAGCCAGGCTCCTCAGTCACCAGTCTCAGTTCTCCCTCACAAGAGACTCTCAGGCAGAGCCACGGTGCAGCACCGTGCCCAGGACAGACACTGGCTCACCACAGCCTCCTACCGAATGGATCCATGGCACGAGCCTTAAATCCCATGAGGGAACACAGTGACATTAACCCAAGGAAACCAAACCCAGAGGGCCTGGTGTTCAGCTACATGGGCAGCCCCTCTCCCTTCTCTGGGCAGAACACCAATGACTGGACCCAGAGTGCTCTCCCTCTACATCCCTGGCCATTTTTACTTTTATTCCTTTTTTTTTTTTTGGTACTGGGGATTGAACTCGGGTCCTTGCGCTTGTGAGGCAGGCGGCAGAACCACTGAGCTAAATCCCCAGCCCTATTTTTATTCTTTTTAACTTGAGGCAGGGTCCTGCTAAGTTGCCCAGGCTGGCCTGGAACTTGAGATCCTCCTGCCTGAGGTCCCCATATCGCTGAGATTACAGGCATACGCCACACACAGGTCTTACTTTTGCAAAGATGCTTAAAGCACACAAGAATTGTGACGTGCAGTAAAACCGTGAGCTTGAGAATGCACACTGCAGATGGGCTGCACCGAGTGCTCGATCTTGAAACAGCCCTGCGGTGAGCGGGCGCCATGGTGCAGAAACCCACGTCTCGGACTGGTCTACCTCAGCGACCTCCATTCGCTTCTCCGCACAGAAATCCACACCCTGGCCAGCATCTGCCTGCAATAGCACACACATCTCTAAAATGACTGAAAAAAGTGATGTAGCTGTTCAATGAAGCAAGGAAAATTCATTCCTCGACCAAGCATTTCAACAGGACAACCAGAAAATGTTCCAACCCCTGATTTTCAGTACTGGAGCCTGAACCTGGCCAAGCTGCCCAAGCTGGGCTTGGACTTGGGGTCCTCCTGCCTCAGCCTCCCAGTGCTGGGATTACGGGCGTGTGTCTTGGCTGAGCACTGCATTTTAAAACCCAGCAACCAATACTTGCTCCAACACTTGCAGAGCTCACGATGGCTCTAGGACAGTCAAGATCTGTTTCTCAAACATCCTGGGGAGGTCAGAGGGGTTCTGCTCCATACCATCCCAGGAGAGGAGAGGCGATGGCCACTCCTCAGAGCTTCACAACGCACCTTCGCAACACCAGGTGGGGGTCTAGGGGTGAAGCTCAGTGGCACAGCGGTCGCCTAGCAGGCATGAAGTCCTGGGTTCAATCCTCAGCAACCCCCCCCCCAAAAAAAGCATTTTGATATGACTGGCCATAAAAACAAGTCATCTGAGTGCCGCAGTTTTTCTTTTGTGCACCAATATTAATATCCTGCGGTTTTCTGGGTGGCAGTCTGGGAAGTGCTTGAGTGTCTACAAATATACAAAACTGGCTTCCTCACTGCTGCTGTTTCTAGGCAGCGAGGGAATAAGAAAGACAGGAACAGAAGGCAACAGCAATGTATCTGTAACACCAGGGCAGCACCTAACTCAGGACACAAGAACATGCCCGTGAGGTGAGGTGAGGGGCCTGGACACTTGCACCAAGAGGCTGGAGACACCAGCACCCCCAGGCTCCATGGCAATATCCACTCACTGCCGTGTGGCCAGAAGCTTGGGGTCATTCAGAACATCTGCGACATCCAGGCCCCCAGGCCTGTGGACCTTTGTTTGAGAAAAACAGATCTCATTGACTAATCCTGTTTCAAGGGGAGACCCTGCGCCCAGGCTGCCATGGAGTGGGGATCACCCCGGCTCTGGGCCCACTTGCACCTGCTGTCCAGGCTGCTGCCCAGCCATCCAGGACGCTGACGCCACACGACTGGCTCATCAGGAAGAGCCCAAGTTCAAGCTCACAGCACATGGAGGGACATGGCGTGCACATGGGGAGTCTGTGCCCGAGGCTGAGGACAGGCTCCCTGGTCAGAGACTGCCTGTGCAAGGCCGCCCAGCACCAGCGTGGCCCTCTGAGCTCTGGGGCCTTCCTGAGGCATCGCCACCCTCAGCTGCGACAAAAGCGGCAGACTGCCCCTGGCGCCGTGGGGTAATCCCGCCACAGGCGCGTCATCAGGGCTGCAGAGTGCACTCGCTGCCCTCCCCGGGAGAGCAGCAGCTTCTCCGAGAGGCCGTGGCTCTGCCGCCAGGCCCTTCCTCCCTCTCCTTTCCCTTTGCTTCCTCTGGTCTCAAGTCTGCCGGGCAGGAAAAACCTGACCTTGCTCTAAATAAGAGTTCTGTTCTATTTGTGCACAGAACCTGACAATGCTTCTGTTCGAAGACAGATCTTCCAGGGATTGAAAAACTTGTGAAAAGGAGAAACAGGTGAGAAGTGAGCACATCTGGCCTGGGAAAGCACGCCCCTGCCGGGCCCGCCCCCAGAGCTGCGACTGTGCCCCCACGTGACAAACACTGGAAACCACAGGCTAGCAAATGCAAAATTTATTTCAACTGTACAGGACAGAATGTCTTTTTATAAAACAAACACTTCATTGCCATTGCAACCACAAACAATGATATGTGCACTGTACAATGCAACGGACATTCAGATACACATCCCAGTGAGCTTCTCAATGGTGTCACGAGCTAAAATGGCTTTTCCCATTCACAGGTAAGGAGCACAATATATGGATTTTCTCCAAGATCTTATTCCACTATATACACATTACTGTGTTTTGGCCACTTTATGCAAAACACGTAAGTAAGAGAGCTTGTTAAGCATTCCTGCAAGAGTGAGTTCAATGCAAACACTGTCTGGGCCATCTGCAAGGCCTGGGGATGGCTTGGACCTACCTTCCGGCTCGGCGTCTGCGTCCTCTCGTCCTAACACTACCTGTACACACAGAATTACAGAGTGCACAAACGGAAGGGACACGGGCCAGTCTCATGACATGCTGGCCCTCCTCTGGACGCCACATCCTCTCTGCTGCATGAGGACCGTCTTCTGGGCCTATGGCATTAACACTTCTAACCGTGTCACAAAAAATGGTGTCAGACATTCAAAACAAACAAACAAAAAGTCAGGGCATTATTCTACAGTTACTTCGCATCAACGAGAATCATCAAAACGGCTCTGACGAGTACAAGAGGGAATGATGGTCAATCGTCAAAACTGTGGTGCACTGAATGCCGTGACAACATCTCATCAAGACACCACGTGACACCTGGTGCTGTGGAAACCCCAGTGCAGCGGCCACACCTCTCGGGGTGGCACACACAGTGTCTGTGTCCCAGCCCCCGGAGGACGTGGGCTGTGCCAGAGGCATGGGAACCAGCTGCTGTGACAGTCCCAGGGCACAGGTGCACGGCCACTCACCCGGGAACGGGGCCGAGGCTACGTGTCACACAACAAGATCACTGCCAAGCCCACCTCATGATGTAAGCGTATAGGCTCTGTGGTTCCATTGTTCCAAAACCTTCCTTTGCTGTTTGGCTGAATATCGCACACCTTGTGACTACGGGTGATTAGCACTGGGCGCCCATTTGAAAAGACTGCTTGGCTCCCTTAGTACTACTGGCACAAAACGCGCGCTCTCAGGCGGCGTGAGCACTCACTCGGTGGCTGTCTGGGACAGGCAGGCACGGACGGGAGTGGCATGGGTGCCCTTGCCTTGCAGGCAGTCGCAGGCACAGGGCCCCGAGTGCGGGAGGGTGGCAGCACGTCAGGGCACTCAGCACACATGCGGTCCCAACCCTGAACACAGGGGCGTGGGAGGGTCTTCTTGGGGCAGCTGCCCCGAAGAAAGGAAACGTTACTCCCGACTCGTGACGGCATATCCGTGAACCGTGCCATACAGCCACCCGGCTCCATTTAACACCGAGCGGAGCGCGCAAGGGACAGAACTCAGTCTGCCCCTCGAGCGATGGCCAGATGTGGGTTTGTAGGCATGACTGACCAGAACATGTCGCGTTCAGTTGTCTCTGAACGGAGCAGGGATTAGCCCGAGTGAGGCCTCCTGCGTGGCCCTGCGGGGCTGCTGAAATGCAGCATCATGGTTCCCACAGCATAGCGCATGGGCAGGTGTCGGCAGCCAGGCGGTGCCGAAGCCAAGCACTCAAGCCCATGCCGCTCTGAACGCAGTTGTCTCCACTGGGGCTTCCCCTGCAGCCCCCACTCTGCACTGGGCAGCGCCCACATCGGCCATCGATGCGTTTGGGGCAGTACGGCGTGGCAACGAGGGAAGGTCCAAGCCAGGACAGTGGGCTTGAAGCCCACGCAGGCCACAGAAGGGCAGAGCCGACGTAAAGACAGGCTTGGAGACCTGTGGCCCTGCCCTCCCGTGCACCTGCCCAGGCTGAGCCCACGGCACCACACAACCAATGGGCCGGACACACGGAAATTCCTCTCGTCGCGTCGCCTCTCCATGCCTGCGTGACCCGTTTTCGTTACACTGAAAACGTGCAGGTCCCTGCGGGTAAGGCCAGAGTCATCTCCATATTGCTGGCACTTAGATCACAAACCGGTGTGGTTTGGTGTAAATATAAAACTGTCCATATAGCTGTATCCAAAACGGAAATGAGAGTTGCTGCACTGAGAGTAAAAACACCAAACCATTTGGAGATTTTATAAAACAATTCCCCACCGGCTGGGAGAAGCCCGGGTGGGTACAGGCTTGTGCGAACCCACCCCCCATGGCAGGTTCGGGTCGTCCCAGGAACACTCTCCAGGTTGTTAAAATATCACATGAAAGAGACAAGAAACAGCAAGAAAACATCTAAGAAAAGCAGGCTGCGATACAAGCATTGTTAAGAAAAGCTCAGAGTGCATTAGTTCTGGTGAGAGATATATGAGCAACAGCTCTTACGAGATGCTGAACCCATTCTGTAACTATGGGCTGTCCATATACTGTCATACTCAGAGTCTTCCGAGGGGTCTGAGGGCTCCAAGCGAGAAAGGCTACTGCGACGACCCGGGGAGTCTAGGCTTGATTGGCCGTCGTCAGCCAAGACGTGATTATGCATCAGGTCAGTGCCTTGCCATGCTAAGACGGAGGAGTGACAGGGCGACAGCAGAGGTGGGTGGGGGCGGACAGGAAGAGCCACAACCAACATGGAACAAAAGCGAAAGGTGATGGGAAGAGAAGGAAAAGAGAAAATAGTGTTAAAAAATGGCAACAATGTTCGTTTCTCCTTATTTATGGCTGGGTTTTAATAACCAGTTTATCAGCACAAATATCAGAACAAAACCAATTAATCATTATTCCAATAAACCTACGTCATCACACTGTTTCCAAAGATATTTCTACGAAGCCCTCCCCTAAGAAACCTACCAATTACACCCATGTCCAAACAGTGGTTCTATAAGCACTTGCAATTAGCCAATTCTGCTAACACTCTCACTTAGGACATTATTTGCAACAGATACAATTTATGCAGCTGGTGACCACTATTTTCTATTCAGTAAATGGATATACTAAATGGAAACCAACTTCAAAGGGCTTCTGACTGATTGCTTCAGTTCCTTCTTTGCCAAGTCCACGCCAGCAGCCAGGTATACACTTACCTTGCCCATGTGCCCGTGGGTGCTTCCGGGGGGAGGCTCGGTGTGTCCCAGCCTCTCGAGACCTGCTCATGGCGCTCACTGCACTCTGCCTGGGCAGGGAGGCACGAGCAGGGTCTGTTCCCCACGCTTCCCACCCTGCCACAGGCCCTTGGCCACCAGGAAGACGGGCTTGAACGGCCGCGCCGCTGTGCTCAAGGAGGGCGGGCAGCAGGAGGCGGGGGAGCAGAAGTGCCCTGCATGGCTGGCTGGCAATGGGGTGCCCTCGGGAGCCCGAGCAGCCTCTGCGCCCAACCACACAAGAACTGTGAGGGCGCCCCACCAGGCAGAACTCAGCCAAAGAGCTGGCTCTGAAGTCCTCCTGGCACCCAAACAATACCTGGGGTCAACACACAATCCTTCTACAGACTGTGCTACACCAGGCGCTTCCTGTGAGGAACCACTTCCACAGGCCTGCACCCGGCACCCAGGGCGCAAGTCTCCTGTCACTGGCTGCCCTGAGCCAGTCGGGCTGCGGCTGGGCCGATCTGAGCCTCTGACCCCACGGTACTGACTCAAAGCAAAGCCAGCACATTCCCGACGCTTGTCTCACAGGAGTGGGACCCGGATGTGGGCTGCCCCTCACAGGCTGGCGCTGGCACTGGCACCGGCACCAGCCTGGCCGCTCACCACAGGACGGGTGGTCGCATGGGACACAGGCTGAGAGCAAGTAACTGCACCTGAGAGCTGCCCGGGTAAAAAGCTTAGCTTAAAAATCTAAAAAAGCTATGGCCACATGGAATAGCCTATGACTTAAAAGACCACCACTGGCAAGCTACAGAAAGGCAGCACTCCTGATTATAGTATCCTGCATTCACAAACTGCTACCTGACCATACACACACCCCACGGTCTTCGAGAGCACTGAGGCCTCCCCAGCAGTGACAAAGAAGGCCCTGTGCTGACCCTGGCACGAAGCCTCCCTGTCCTGGGCAGGACAAGGTGGGGAGTGGGCAGCGGTGCAAACCGTGAGGGGCTCTGGGCCATGCACGGGTGAGTGCCACCTGGCAGGCGGCCACAGGCTGTCCTCACAGCGCACTTCTCCCGCCCGCTCTGCCTTCTCACTTCAGGGGAGGACAGCAGGGGGCAGGCCTAATCTGGAGGACGCACCAGCCTGCAGGTGATAACAAGGAAGAGGGGACAGGCCGCCTGCCAAGAGGTGGGACAGAAAGGGAGCCGAGGGAAAAAAATCAACGAGAATCTGGTTTTGGTGGCAAAGTACTATAGTCACCACCCAGTTCTTTAAAAAACAAACCAAAGCCAGGCACAGTGACTATGACTGTAATCCCAGGTACTTGGGAGGCCAAGGCAGGAGGATCATGAATTCAAGCCCAGCCTGAGCAATTTAGTGAGACTCTATCTCAAAATTAACGTTCAAAAAGGGCTGGGGACACTGCTCAGTGGCAGTGTGCTTGCCTAATACGTGTGAGGCTATAGATTCAATCCCTAGCACCTCACACACACAAAAAGGGACAGGAAAATAAAAGCTAGAAAACGAGCATACCAGAAAAACAGAAGACTGCCAGCCACATCCCCTCTCACCTGCAGGGAGATTTTAAAAAGCCACCTCCCTGTCCTCACCACAAACAGAAATGTTCTTAACTACACAAGACACAGGTAAATCCTGTGTACTAAAGTCTACAAGATAAGTTAGTTGGTGTCTATGCCCAAATATTAAAAGAAAAAAGGGCAGGTCAACAAAGGCCTTGCTCCAGGTTTGCACTATGACAATAGCCCTAAGCTTAAAGAGACCCCCCATCCCCATGCTGCCCGCCAGGTTAGAGCCGGTGTGGCGTGCGGCCCCGCACGGTCTCCTAGCCCTCTCCCTGAGCACGTGGTGCCACCTGCTTCTGCTCAACTCGGGTCCCACACTGCCCACTGCCCTCCTGCGCCCTCGCTCACCAAGAGCAGTGCAGGCCGCAGGCCCTGACCAGGACCCCCCACGGGCCCCAGTGCGCCCTGGACACTTACTCGAGTTGAGTGTCTGCCGCGTCTTGGCACTTGTGCAGTAAGCCTCGATGACCTTCAGGATCTGAGCATCCTCCTCCAGAGCAGCCGTGCCTGTGGAGATGCACACACATCACAGCTAGGGGGTGGCCCCATGCTGCTGCCACCAGCTCCCCAGAAAGCTACCTGAACTGGTATCTGAGACGAGCCCCTGCTACCGTCTCAGGGAGCTGCTCGCTGTATGTTTACACATAGGTGTACCCGAAAGGGTTTTTCGTTTTATTACTTCCTCAACTCTGTGAGGGCTTGCTAATCTATAAAAAAAAATAGCACCCCCACCCACAAACTGATAAAAGGGGTAAAAAGGGAATAAGCAATTTCCAGAAGAACACAGGCAAGCAAGAACAGTCTGCCACCCTCACTCACAACAGTAATGAGGCTGAGCCCAGGGCCACGTGTTCCCCAGAGAGCAGGCAGCCCTCCCTTCACACAGACACAGGGGCACAATGCAGCTCAGTGCTGCGGAGGGACGCAGGAAGCAGCCCTGGAGCTCTCCTTCCTGAGGGTCTTTAGCAGCAATGTCCTGACTGCCTCGATGTCCTGAATGGATTCAAAATGTTTCCTTTTTAAGGACATTTTGACCTTGGAAAGAGCTGGAAGTCACATGGTGCCCGATCTGGTGATGAAGGTGGACGAGGACACAAGGTCATGTTTTACAAGCTGCCTTTCTGGGGAATGGTGCTCGGCAGCAGCAGTCACTGAATTTTTCATCATGCCTGGTGCAGTCACTCAGGAAAGAGGACTCCAGAGCTGCTGCAGGAAGTGGCAAGAACCATGGGATGAGTGTGCTCAAAGGGAGGGAGAGGATTTTGAATGTGATTAATTATAGCGTGTCTACTGATATGAAACATTTTTATTTAAACACACTGTATGTATTTTTCAGTCAGCCCTTATCTATTTTTTTATGTATGTATGTATGTATGTAGGTGCCAGAGTATGTATGTATGTATGTATGTATGTGTGTATGCAGGTGCCAGAGACTGGGACCAGAGACCTTGCACTTGGGAGGCAGGTGGTGACACCACTGAGCTAAATCCCCAGCCCAGCCCTATTTACTAAAAATGTGGACAGGAAGCTTACATACCCACAGCTGGATAACAAGCCCCACTGTTCACTCAGGAGAGCACAACGCGTACAAGGCAAACCCAGCATCATTATTAGACATCAGAGCCCTGTGCCGGGAGCGTGAGAGCATCCCAGCTCCCCAAGCCCGGCCCTCACTCCCGGGGACCCGGGCATCCAGGCCCTGTGTCAGCGTCCCACATGCCCCCCGCCTGGCTCCAGGGCACTCACCCCAGCACAAGCCTGGCCCTCTGCCTCTGTGGGCCCCACACCGGCTGTGCGGCCACGTTGCTGCTCTGGGGCTGCTCCAGGCAAGGGTGTCATGTGGGGCGCGGCAGGACGCTGCGCAGCATCCCTGGTGTGACTCAATACCAGGCTGCCCTCATCCAGCTGTGGCAGCCAGCGTGTCTCCTGCACGCCTGGCCCGGCGCCGAGCCCACCCACAGCCCGTGCAGCAGGCAGACGAGGCCTCTGCACACCCTGTGGCGGCCCCACCGTTCATGAGGGTCCTGGCGGACTCTGCCCACCCACCCAGCATCCCCCTCTTCTAGGCGTAAGCGTCACGAGGACCGGGCTCCGCACCAGCACAAAGCAGTGCGCGTCCCAAGGAGGTGCTCGGCCGTCCCTCCTGGAAGGGCCCCTGACAGCCCTGCCTATCAGAGGAGGGCTGCTCCAGGCCCAGGCCTCTGTCACCCGGCAGGTCTCTTCCTCCTCTGTGCCTCACGCCACGTGTGGGCTGGGGCCGGCCCAAGGGCCGTGAGGACCCGGAGGTGCGAGGCGTGCCCTGCACAACACAGCCCCCAGCCTCACGGAGCCTGCCCCGAGTGGGCCGACGCACGCACTGCTTCCCCACGACCCCTTCTGAAATGAGCCCCGAAGAGTCCACGGGGGTGGAAGGTGCAGTGAGCCAGAGCCTCAAGGCCTGGGAAGGACCCCGAGGTGTCAGCTGGGGGGGGCGTGGCCCAACCATGCACTCTGCCATTCCCAGCGGTCTCGGGAGTGGGGAGGCCCTTCCCACACGCAGCACCTGCTCAGGAAACCTTCATTTCAGTGGAAACGGGGAGGGTCCACCTCCGGCTCCTGGAGCCTGGGAAGGGCCGGGGAGACAGCCCAACTGCAGCCAATGTGTGGAGAAAAGGCAGCAAGTGAGGCACAGGCTGACACCCAGTGGCAGAGTGGGGCAAGTGAGCAGAGGAGCCCTCCGTCTAGAGCGCGCCCCGGCGCCTGTTCCCGGGTGGGCAGGGCCAGGCAGGGGACACACGGAAGCCCACCCCGGGCTCCACACCCCACACTCACTTTTCCGCAAGGCAAACTCTTCATCTGAAGGCTTCCGCTCAGGTTTGCGCTTTGGGAGCAGCTTCTTCATGGTTTTGGGGCTCTTACTGAGGTCCTGGGGACAGGGAAAGGGCAGGACATGCAACAGGCATCAGAGCCAGATGCCTGGCAGAGCTCCAGGGAGCAGGAGGCTGTCAGGTGGCCACATGCATGACTTCACGGCATCTCCGGAGTCGGTCACTGTGCCCTGGCCCTGACAAGAGCCCTCGAGTGACGAGCGTCCCCAGTCCCGGTGAGCTGCAGGCCAGCTGGTGCAGCTAACAGGGAAGAGGTGACCAAGGGGAAAACAGCTCTGAGGAGCAAATGACACGAGGAGGGCAACGAACTCGGGTGCACTGGGGAGGCAGAGGCCACCCCAATTCTCCGTGAAGATGACGTGCACGCCTGCGGGGCAGGGGAAGCTTCCCAAGGCCAGGTAGCTGCTGGACACGGACTGCTCAGCTGTGAGTGCAGAAAGGGAGGTGTGCGCGACCGGAGAACCAGACCGGACGCACAGACAGAGGGGACGGTGCTGGACTGTCGCACTCTCTCTAGCACACATCTAAAAGGCACTGAGAAGTGCCGCAGAAACAGCTGCGGAAGAAACACACAGCGCATGACATGGGCTCCAGGGCTCCCCGCCATGCACAGAGGGCGGTGGGCAGGCAGGCTGAGGAGCACTGTCTCCCTTGCTGCTCGGAGACAACGGGAGGCAGGGACACTCTCCCACGGGACAGGCGTCCTTCGGGACCCTCGCCATTCCCACTTGCTCGCCCAGCATTTTCACCAGCTGCTGTCCCTGTCAGGTCCCTTTGTCTTCTGACTGCACACAAAGGCATGGGACAGGAGCCTTGGTGTCCTGCAGCAGCCAGAGACAAACACTCTGCCTGCCTGCGTGACTCAGTCCGAACCCAGATGAAACAAACCCGGGAGAACGGGTCACTCGGGGGCTGGGGACTGAGGCCCAGGGCCACGCGCATCACTGCACTCAGGGCTGCACCGTGCTCACACGCCTTTACACCCCTGCCTCACTCCCAGCTGTGCTCACACCTTCAGCCACACGCCTGGTCACACACGCTCACTCGTGAGCAGCATCACACACAATCGCACACACAAGGCACACTCACTCCTCTGGGGTGTCAGGACCCAGGCGCAGGCACAGTGCACTCTCGCCTCTGAACCCCGCGCGGTGGAGCGGAACCCAGGAGCCCAAGCCCACACCGCACTCCAGGCGGCTCGAGGTCTCCCGGTGCCCGCGGCTCGGCTGGAGTCTCACCTCCTTGTAGCAGAGAGCAGCCGAGGGCCTCAGGGGAGGCGCGGGCCGCAGGCAGCTGAGGCTCCAAGGCTTGGGGGTCTTCGGGGGCTCTAGGGGCCCCCAGCTGATGGTGGTGTGCGGGGTGCCATGGTGGGAGGGGTGGGGCAGCGTGTGGTAGGCGGGCATCAGCGACGCGGGCTTGCTGTCCGAGTGCTTGCTGGACGGCGTGATGGGGTGCGAGGGGAGCTGTGGGCGAGAGGATGTGAGCAGAGACAGCCTGAGACCAGCGCGGCCAGGGCCCCACCTCTGTGCTCGCCGCCAGCCTGGGAGGAGCCCGAGGCCCAGGCCCAGGCCCAGGCCGGGTTCTCCAGGGCAAGGGCTCCCCATGCTGTGGGCTTCAGGCTCACTGGGCCTCTGGAGCACCCAGGGCAAAGGTCACCACGGAGGGGCGCGTGCCGGTGGGAACGGCGCACTGCCTGGTGGACATGGAGAAAGTCCCTCCTAGGCCAGGCTCGCAGGCAGAGGGGAGGGAGGAGCGCGTCCTGAGCCGACAGCCAGGTGCCACACACCTCCGCCACTCTCACGCAGAGGGCAAAGCTCGGCTGCAGGAGCCATTCCTGAGGCCAAAGCTGGGTGCCATCCGATCCTTCACAGAAGACCCCGATCTCCGGGGTAAAACAAGGCATTCTCTTGAAAGACTCAGCTTCATGAAAACAGTTACTCAAAAACCTAATTTCTCAGGCCAGGGATGTAGCTGAGTGGTTCCGGCGCCTGCCTCGCAAGCGCAAGGTCCCACGCAAGGTCCCGAGTTCGATCCCTGGTACCAAAAAAAAAAAACCTAATTTCTCATGGGTGTGGGTGACTAATCCAGTCAATTCTCAGAAAAATCAAAAATATCCCTGAGCCTGACAGTGAAATAAGGAAACGTAAAACAAATCAAGTAACACTCAGAGCCTACCAGCCCAGGGTGAGAAGGCATCTATCTGGTGGGAGAGCAGGCAGAGGGCTGGGCGCTGAGAGCCTGGCTGCAGTCCTCAGCCAAAGACACACACAGGGGCAGATCGGGCTGAGCCCACCAAAGCCACAGTGTCAGGAAGGGAAGCCACAGCTGCCCTCCAGCACCTGGCGTCGTCCTGGGCACGGGTGGGCTCCAGACTCACGGGTGCCACACCACTGCCACCTCCGACTAACTTCTAAGGAGGTGAAGTGCAGTGAAGCACCCCGCCCAGCACACGCAAATCCAGGTCACACGGGATGCCTGATGCTACATCAATAGTACAACAGGCTGCACAGGCCAGGGCCCAAGAGGGCCAGCACAGCGTCCTCCCCGAACAGCTCCCTGCTGAAGGCTCCGGGCCAGTTGACAAGCAGGAGCTCACGCCCTTCCCCGCCCTGCACATGCCTCTGCCCAGGACAGATCCACACCGACAGCCCAGCCCAGCCAACGGCGGGGACTGAGGCAGGGAGAGCCCAACCCGACCAAGCGGAACCTCCCGCCGGAGGACAGCAGGTGGGCGGGGCGGGGCCGCTGCGGCCCTGAGGAACAAGGCTGGCAGAGAAAGAGGGGCTGCAGGGCAGAAGTGATCAGAAGAGCGGAGGGACGCACTGCAGACTCAAGCCCCTTAAACACGTCCTCTCCCGGGGACTCAAGGAACCGCTTCTTCAGCGCCAACACCAGCACAGGGCCTCACGCCACACACTGCCTTGCTCTCCGCTGAAGCAGTTTGGCTCTAAAAGTCTAGGAGCGGCTGAGCTTTTTCTAACAAAAACAATTGTTTTCTTAAAACAATGAATGAAAAATACTTTAACGCCTTCAAACTGAATCTAGTTCTTTCCATCCTCATTATCTTTTGCTTTCAGTTTTCTTTTTTAAATAAACCCTACCAAACACAGTTCCAGATCATGCACGCACAGGCGAGAACCCCGGGGGAGGAAGCCCAGGGCGCCGCACCCCACCAGCCACCCTGGATGCCCTTACGGTGTGAGACGGCACAGAGTGGGGCTTGATGGTGGGGTTGCTCACGGACGTGACCTTCGTCTGCTTCTGCAGGTGGTCCACCCACTCGTGCAGGTCCTGCTGGTGGTTGCAAGACACGAGGATCCGCTCGATCATGCTCCCTGCAGGAGATGACCAGAGAAAGTGGGCTGCAGGGAGGCGCGGGCGCAGGACACTCACAACGTGCGCATGCCCATACCCAGTGCAGACTCGGCAGCACTGAACAGCCCCCTCGAGACCCCCAGCGAGACTGCACCCGAGGGCTGGCTGGCCTCCGGCAGGGTGGTGGGGTGGGGTGGTGGCACCCACACAGCTTGTGTCTATCACCTGATATTTCAAATGCATTTCTGTGATTCTCACTGTCCTCAAGCTTTGTGATTGTCATTCCTGTCGTTGGCAGCTTCCCCTAAAAGAGAAACCCCCCCAAAAAAATAGTACAATTAGTCCTTTTCCAGTAAAGGAACCGTCATTAAAGTAAATACTCAGTGACTTTAGGCATGGCACAGGAACCGTGAGCCAGGGACGCGCCTGTCCACAGCAGGGCGTGTACACCAGAGCCTGCCTCAGACGAGAAATGCAGTACCATGATGGAGAAACTCAACCATTGATGGGCATTTGGGCTGTTTCCAAATTTTAGCTATCACAAACTGTGCTCCTATGAACATAGGTGCACATATATCACTGTGGTATGATTCAGAGATTACGTAAAGGTGCAAATTTCCAACGATGAATGTCATTATATTGTATACCTAAAATGTACCAATGATTAGAATGAATAATTGATAATGCAAAATAGGAAGAAAAGGTCCAAAGGGGTAGGGGTAGCAGGAGGGGCAGGGGAAAGGAAAGAAGGGAAAGGAAAAATGATGAGAAATGAAAAAAAGGAAATAAAGTCTTTGTAAATAGGGAAGGGTGGGGGGGTGAAGGGAGGGCTAGGAATGGGGAAAAAAAAGAATCAAGATGCATCATGTAAAGGTACAATTCCCACTGAGAAATGTAATTGTGTTGTATGCCTACAATGTACCAATAAAAGAATTTAAGAAAAAAAAAAACTCAACCGGGAGAAAGGCAGAGCCGCAAGTGCACAACCCCGTCTGGCGAGTCACAGCAAACACTGATGCAGAAACGTTACGCACTGTGACGAGACTACAGCGCACAGCGGCTGCCTCGAAGGACACAGGCATGGGCATCTGCCCCGCAAAGAGGGGAGGCTCCAGTTTCCAAGGAAACAGTGGAAGCTGAAGCACATAGGACTGACTATGTGAGTTATACTCTGTAGGCCGCCAAACAGAAAATGGGTGGTTGTGCTAAATGGCTCGGAGCTCAGGAAGGAATGCGCAGGCCAGCAGGAGGCTGGCACACGCTTCGGGGGTGTGCACCAGTCACGGCCCACAGCACAGAGAGACACACGACAGCCCCAGCTCACGAGCACCTGGACACATTGTGGGTGTTTGGGTGGAGCTGCCTCAGAACAGCTCTCAGCCAGGTGCAGGAGTCTCTCAGCACCCCAAAAGCAGTGCTTCCGGGCAGGGAGGCGGGATTTGCCCCCACAGCCACCATGGCAAGGTCACGAGCCGGCAGGTGTTGCTGACACCCAGCAGGCAGAGCCAGACTCCCTGGGCCCCTCGGCACTCAAACCATTTTCTTCCCAAAACCCCACAGCGGGGCAGGACGGCACACTGCCTGGCTGACAGCACTGTGACCAAACAGGTCTGAAAGTGCTCTGCTGCACTCCTCGTCCACACTGCTGCTGCACGTGGTACTTCAACAGCCCGGAGGAGTCGCACAGAATCAGGCTGGGAACCGCACAGCCGGTGCGCGTGCTGCGACTGCTGCCCGGCTGACTCCCCACAGCCAGTGCGCCAAGAGTAGAAACGAGTGCTGGGACCGGGCTCACTGAGCCAGGCTGGAGGAGGCCTCTGGAGCACCAACACAAGAGCAAGGGCTCCCAAGCAGGCGCCAGCCTCCCGGGGGACAGGCGCCCAGCAGCCGGCTGTTCCCCGGGGCTGGAGCAGGGCCTGCCTTCAGCCAGCACTGGCACGGGGCTCTGGGGTAGGCAACTGGAAGCAGAAAGAGTGGGAGGGACAGGACTCAGGGCTCTTCAGGGCCCGGGTGAGGAGAGCTTCCCGTAAGGTGCCTCCTGACAGCAGCCCACACGCGCAAGTGCGGTGGTCCTGGGTGTGTTCACACTGCCTCACCACTTCCGACAGCTATGGCCACAGCCCCCCCTGTGAGCAGATGCAGCCTGCTCCAGATGCAGAGGAGAACAAGCCACGTCTGCTTCAATGCAGAAGTCTCCAGTCCTTGCTGGCTCAATGTGGAAAATGTGTGGCAGCTTCCATCCCAGGAGTCGCTGGGGACGGGCTAGGCTCCAGGAGGGGACGAGCAGGCGTGGCTTCTACAGCGTCACACAGAAACCAGGAGGAGACCTCCCAAGGGCACCTCCTGGAAGTGCAGCGGTGAGAGCTACCACCGGGGATTCGGAACCAGCAGGGAGGGGACACAGCCCTTGTACTCCCCCAAGTCTAGGAAAGCAGAGGAAGTCTATGGCGCAGGCTAATGATCACGAGACCTGTGCCATGGGTCTGAGGGTGCCACGTGGCTGACAGAGCTTGGCCTGCCTACTCCACTGACTCACAGCCCCAGGAGGCCCCTGTTCTGCAGAAGAGAAAGCAAAACCCCAGAGCAGCAAGGAGGAGACACTGTCACAGGGGCCTCAGAGGCCAAGGCACGGACTATGTCCTCACAGGTGCTCTGCCCGACTTTTCCTCCTTTCAGGCTGAGAGAGAACACTAGGACATGTGTGCAGAGTCACAGGGGACACACCTGAGCACACACAGCAGCACACGCAGCACAGAGCATCTAAGGCCAAAGTTGAAAGCCAGCATGAAAAGGAGTCTCAGATCTACCAAGAGCAAGGAAACCTGAGTCTAAAGGTGTTTTACCTGGTAAATGAAGCCACTCATCCTGGGACTGGCAGACAACATTAACAGGAGGTTCGGGAAGAGGAGAAGGTATCTTTCATTCTTTTCCTAATATAAAAAACAATTTTTAAAAGCACATCTATTTACAAATGTGACCACAATATTTATTTTGTATTAAGCCCTATGAAACCTTATCCTATATTCAGTTTCCTCTCCAGGTGTTTCTACCAAATTGTATCAGCAAACTAAATGGAAACAAAAACGATGATCAGTTTAAGTCTTAACATGTGAGTGAGAAAACTTTGGCAAATAGGTGAAGGCCATGGACTGCTAAATTCTTCAAAGTAAGAATGCAGTGGTACGTTGGTTCCCCAACTTGATTCTTTCTGTGACTCTGTAACTGGTCACAATCCAAATTGGATGAGAGCCGAACCAGTCAATGATGAGGCTCAGTGTCGACCTCATGGGGAAATTGGACTTGGACTCGGTTCTGTTCCAGTTCAGATTGTGACCACAGTCATGAAGAGAATCAAGTCTGAATGGAGGTACCACTGCACGCTCAATGGCTACCTGTGTAGTATCTCTGAATGCTAACAGAGGAAGGAATGTGTCTCTGCCATTAAGTGTTTAGCGCATCTACAATTTTCACAGTTCACAGGAGAAAAGGAACAAGAACTCGGAAAGTTGTAATGGGCACAGGGTCATGCTTGAGGAGGACAGCCCAGACCACAGGCAGAAACTCTGGTTTCTCCACACCCCTGGCCCTTCCCTAGTGCGCAATATGCCAATGAAATGCTGTTCTCGTGTATCACATAAACTTCTGGCCTACAGGAAGGACTCGAAAGCATCACTGTGTACTAGAAATCATTTCCTTCAATAAAGGAACAGGGCCAGGGATTTAGCTCAGTGGTTCCACTCCCTGCCTTCCAAGTGCAAGGACCTGAGTTTGATCCCCGGTACCAAAAAAAACACAAAAAACATACACTTGTTCAATAAAGAAACAAAAACTGAAGAGACCATACCTAAAAGACAAAAATTCCCAAGAATCTAAAAGCAGACCCAGAAAGGGTGATGTCAGACACTCCTGTTCACCGGCTGGCATGGTAAACACTGCCCAGCGTCAGGTCTACACTAGAAGAGGTCCCTGAGCATCCAGCACAAAGCGCCTTGGGAAAAGGACGTTCTCTATTTCAGCGAAGTCACTGAGAACGACCTGTGAGGTTCTCCTCTTGAAGACTCATAGCACGGGCTGGGGACATCCTGGCCAAAGGCTCGAGGTGTGGTCCTGAGTGCTCTGAATCACACTGGAGGACCCACCAATGCCAACAGTCCATGCTACAGGATGGACTGGGTTAAACAGTTTAAAATTGGGGCCAGGGATTTAACTCAGTGGTGCCGCCACCTGCCTTGCAAGCCCAAGGTCCCGAGTTCAATCCTCAGTATAAAAAATAAATAAATAAATAATAAATAAAGTTTAAAATCACACAATTAAGAAATACTACTGCAGAGATGTGGGTGTTCGTATCAATGTGGTAAATAGGGAAAATCGCGATTTCTTGTAGTGTCCAAACTATCACAGCTTCATCCATAGAGAGGGTAACACTGTGAAACTTTATGGGTGGGAAGAAACAACATGTGAGTGTAAGTTCAGTGTTTCTCTTGCTGAATATTTTTTGCAAAGACAAAATAAAACTCAGGAAGAGAGCCTGCTCAGTGATCCAATGAACACACAGCACGTGAATCGTGAGAAGTAAACTGCTCGATTTACACCCAGTGGGACTAGCCCAAGAATCTGGTTTTACTCCTTCCTTCCTCAGACCCATGAGAAACTCGTGCTTCCTTTCAGTGAATACTAATTAGTATGGGTTCACGAGAAAGGGTTAGGGTCTGTTCTGGCTGTGTCTAGATGCCCCAGCAAAGCCTCAGGCAGTCAGAGGTGGAACTTTTCGGAGGTGGCTACATCTAGAGTATGTGATGCTAGGATTGATTCGTGATGCAATGCTAGGGTTCAGGGTGCCCCAGCCTGGGTGAGAGTGCTACCTGACCTAAGGGTGGATAGCCGGGATAAAATATAAGGCACAGAAAAAGGGCTGCTGTTGTCACTTGCTATTCCCTTGCTACTTCGCTGCTTTGATGCCTTCTACCCACCATGGACTGTTTCTCCTCTGTGATGCCCTCTGCCATGCCACCCTGCCTTGGAACCAGCCAACTATGAACTGAAACCTCTACAAACTGTGAGCTACAATACACCTTCCCTCCTTTAACTTTGGGTGTTGGCTATTTTGTCTCAGCAAAGAGAGAAAAGTAACTAAGACAGGGTCTAGACCCCCCAGGAAGAGCAGATACCTAAGTGTCTACACACACCAGACTCCAATCCTGGGCCAAGCCGAGCCTATGGGCCTCAGCCAGTTCACGCTCAGCTTTCAGCTCCTCTACTGAACTCTAAGGCTCCCTGCCTTGTCAAGGATGAACAGTGGGGCACACTCAGAACCAAAGCCAGGACTCCCAAACTCTTCAGTTCCTGGACACCCACGCCTCGGGGAGTCCTCATCACAAGGCACTAGGAGTGGCACAGGCTGATGCACCGCGTAGGCTTCCTACCTCGCTCCCTGCGCACTGAATCATGACCTGTGACATGTAAATGACACTGCCCAGTGTCTTGATGTCATCTCCCTCCCAGCTCCGGATGGATTCCGTCAGAATCTGCAACTCAAGCTCTTTCCTTTTCCGGACTTCTTGACACTGGACCTGCGAAACACAGCACTCTTCAGAGACTGAAGGTTCCAAAAGCTCACGCTCCAACCACACTGCTGCTTAGGGCAATTACTGTTTCACATACTGCTCCTTGAGACAGATAATCTACTGAAGGACTGGCTCAATTGTATGGATTACAAATTTGCTTAAATGTATGGCATCAAGAGAAGCAGGATATACAAATATTTTAGAAAAGTATCACAGATTTTACCATTTCTGGGAAGAATAAAAACGTACACCAGATAAGAAAATATTTCCCTCCGGCTTAATTAGTGTCTGCCACCAGAAAAGACCAAGAAGAAAGAGGGAAAGCACAACGGAGGCCGTGAGGAAGGTGCAGCAGTCAGACAGCCGCCAACAGAAGAGGCAGAGCCCGCACTGAGCCCTGGAGCAGCACCACGCCCTGAGGACGAGGCAAGGAGGCCCGGAAGTACTTTGCAGCAGGAAGCACTGGGTGCCTTCTCAGATCCAGATAATCGGCACAGCTTTCTGGCGTCACCAGTCCACCTGAGAATCCACAGCCATGAGCTCTACTACACATTTATGATTATTACACATTAATTCAATTTATGAATAATTATTTTATCATCTAACTTTGCTGGCTGCTGATTCTACACTGACTTGCCACAATAATGTCTGGGGAAAACATAATATGCTCAATCACTTACTGAGAGGTTTTTGAAGGCAGTCATAGATTTCTGAATATCTTGTCTATCTGGATGGAAATCCTTTGGAGGAAAGAAATGTACAATCAGCTTCCACAGTCCAAGTTTTTCTTACAAAGGCACTCTCCTCGGCTGGCCTGAAATTTCTCCCTTCTCCCACACACAGCAGCCCTCAGCATGCCTGCCCTTCACAGGATTCAGGATGAGGGAAGTGTGGGACTGACAGAGGAAGGGGAATAGGGGAATCGGGGAATCGAGAGCAGGGCAGCAGCAACGCCTGCTGTGTGGTAAAGCTGCAGGAAGCTCAGCCTCCCTCCTCGCAGCCCGCCCAACCACGCCCAGAGGGCAACTGGCTCCCAGACTTCTGCCAGGCCTGCGGCCAGCCGGGTATTCTATTCACAACAACAGCACACAGGGTCAGGGATTTAGCTCAGTGGTTTCGCCGCCTGCTGCGCAAGCGCCAGGACCCGAGTTCGATCCCCGGGACCAAAAAAAGAAAAAACAACAGCAGACACAACCCTCACCTAAACAACTCTCTGTTACTTATTGGTACTTATTGTTTGTAGCTACACGTTCCTCACACCATCTGCATTCTCTAGACTCTGGAAATCTTTTGCTCACAGTGGTGGAAGACAGGATGAGGAGGTAAGGAGGCAGATGCTTCCTCAGAGAACCACGGCAGGAGGGAAACTTTACATGTGATAAAATCATTTTGAAAATGCACCGATCATAGCTCTGGGTAAACTGCACTGTCCCTAGTGGCCATCTCACTAACAGCAGTGCGACACCAGGCCCTGAGGGAAGTGGCACCTCCATGTGTCTCTCCAGCTCCTTGAGCAGCGTGGGGTACTTGTCCAGGCGCATGAACGGCTTGCTCAGGCCGGTGGTCAGCACAAGGATTCCAGGGCTGCTGGCGCCCTTCGTCTCCATGAACTCCCCAAGCTCCTCGCTGGGCGGCAGGCAGGAGAGAAGACACTGGCAGTTAGGACAGGAGATGCCACGGCCACCTCAGAGCCACCCTTGAGCAGCCCAGGGAAAGGACAGAGGACGGCACAGAGGCCCTGCAGGAGCACCCTTGGCCCTGGAGCTGGGCTGCATCCCAGCAGTAAATCAAATTCTTGTTATCTCCCGACCGCCCTCCACAGTCACCTCCCCAACACTCCCCTACGGTTTCTGTGACAAGTCCTTCCAGGCCCTCCAGGGGCAGGGAGGTTTTCCCCACCCTCAGAGGCCAAGAGCACTGACAAACTTCGCAGCTACTTCCAGGTGCATGTGCACATTCACAGGACTCACAGCTCCTAAAACCATTCTCAAGAACATTGCAGGACAGGGCTTGGGAACAGCAGTGCGGCCGGCAGGGCCCTGCGGTCCTGTTGCTGCAGAGGCCAGACAGCCACACTGTCACCATGGGGACATGCTCTGCCACCTCCACACTGACCTCTGCACAGGACGGGGTGGCCGCCACTGCCTCTGCCCCCTTCCCCAGCTGGGTGCAACGCTGCTCACGGGCCAGAGGCTTCAGCTGGGGATGATGTGCCCTGCCACAGGAAGGGCAGCAGACGAGGCCCGGGGTGAAGGGAGCCCTGGCACCTGGCAGGGACACCCTGTACCCTCATCCACCTAGCCCACCTCAGGACACCTGCCTCCTGAAGCCACGCCCACCACCAGTCCCCGGAGCATGAGAGTGACAAAATCAATCTTTATCACCACAAGGACACTTCAACTCCTTTAAATGTATCTATGCGGAACCTTTTCCACCAAGGAAAAATCAGTCAAGGTCACTACTGGTATTTCAGAGTGTAATGAAATGGCCTATCAATGTAGGGAAAAGTTAACATAACAGTAAGTTATGCTCATAATCCCCTCCGGAAACCTCTAAAACTAAAAATGAAGTTAAATTGTGGAAGCAAAGGTAACTTCACAAACAGTCTCAAGATGCCAGAAGCCAAGAGTTAGGGTTTCTATCTAGACTTCTCCCCAAAGCTTCATGCACTCACAGGTGGGGCTTTTGCAGGTGACTGGATGAGGGGGTGATACTTATGGGTGGATTGGCCCCCTGATGAGTTTGCAACTAGAGGTGATGCTTGGAGGGGGAGCCTGGTGGAGGAGGCAGTCACGGGGGCATGCCCTGGAAGGGTCCCTCTCCCTCCCCAGGTCCCTCTCTGCTTCTTGTCACCATCCAAGGAGTGTTTCTCCTCTGTCAGGCCCTCTGCCATGCTGCTGGCACGCCCCACCCCGCCCTGCCCTGGAGCAGCCAACAGGACTGAACCCTCCAGACTGTGAGCCAAAATAAACCTCTCCTCCTTGGAGTTGTGGGTGTCAGGTTTTTCTCAGCAATGAGAAAAACACCAAGATAGAAAATACAACTGCACACACCTCCACAGTGCACCATTTTCTTGTGGAGTTTTTTAGTACTACAATGAGATAAAATAGCTACCTGCAACTGGTTTTGAAGCAGGACTTAAAAGAAAAACAAGTCTTCTTCAGTCTTGGGCAGTCACCCTCCCTTACTCCTCTCCTGTTGCTGAAACTGTTTTGGTATAGATAAATTTGGCAACTATGTCTTATAAACTAAGTTTATGTCATCTTATTCTCACAAGATTTATAAGGCTTTGTTTTTTTATAAGGCTAAATTCTAGAACTGTCTGCCCTTGTCTTGTTCCACTAAACCCACTTGATACGTCACAAAAAAAACCCACCACCACCACCACCACCACAAAATGTATAAAAGCTAGAACTTTTCTTTGTTCAATGTTCTGCCTTTGGACAGAAGTCCATTGAGCTGTGGTACACCTAAAACCGGAAATAAATTCTCCTGATTTCCACTGGTCTGTCCTGTCTCTTAAAATTCTACAACAGTCTGTCAAAGTGAAGCAGTGAACCATGGTAGATGGAGGCTGAGCTCTCTCAGCCCAGTGGCCTCAGGCAGGGACACAAGCACTTCCTGCTGTCACTGCCCACCCTGCACTCGGCCTACACTCCCAACTCCACCCTAAAGGATTGGTCTCCTCTCCCTGAAACAGGAGAAAACCATGGACCAGCTTTATAATTATCTGCAATTTCCATCTGGCCACTGTGTATGGCCCTCAGGGCTGCATCAGTAATTCCAGAAGTACTTTTAGAGACACAGACTTTATGCTTACACATCCTTTCATGGAAATTTCACTTCCCTTCTGAGTTCCAAGAGCGACTGCATACAGGCTTTGCCATTAGGATGTGTGTGGCCAGCACGGGGCTGGCCCAGGCTGAGGGCAGGGTCCTCTTCCTGCATTCTCTGCACCCACGCTCATTTCCCATCCCAGAGTTGGAAAACCATAATCCTCTTATATTTGGGCACACCAAGGCAGCAAGCAGCAAATGCTCAGTGTTGTTCTCCTTCCTCACAAGACAGACCAACACACAGTGAGACTTCGCTGCCTTTGCTCCCACCCGACCAGTTCCAGGAGCCTACAGGCAACCGACCTTCAGGACAGGGAGCTGCACTCTGAGGGGGGTGGAGGTGGTCCAGGTCCCTGGAGGCACTCTGAGCTCAGCAACACCCACGGGCCATGCCAGCCTCTGGCGTATTTCCTTCCACAGGGCAGGTGAGCTGTGTGCCTTGCTAGTTTTAAGCGGCAGTGTTTACTGAGAGTAAGCTGAAGTTAAAGGTTCAAATGAGGAGCACAACAGCTTCTATCTTGATGCTACTGAACACTTTTTCCACTTAAGAGTTTGTTTGTTTGGGGTTTTTTTGGTACCAGGGATTGAACTCAGGACCTTGGGCTTGCGAGGCAGATGGCGACATCACTGAGCTAAATCCCCAGCCTCCACTTATAGTCTTGATAAACTCTGAACTACTGTTTTTGAAAGAAACCATGCAACTTATTCTAAAACACTGAGCCTCTGCGCTCTTCCGCTGCCCTCGATGCCATAGGACACAAAGCTGATTCTCAGTTCTCAGCACACACCAGTGCCTCGACTCTCCCTGTGCCTCACATACCAAGTGATTTTCTTCCAACTTGCAGAGGCAGACAATGCCTTGGACTCTAAAGCAAGCAAAAGGTCCCTGCATGCCGCCTCATGGGCTGCAGTGCTGTTTCGGAGTGAAAAGCTCCAGGCAATGCCCTCCAACTCAGGGTGCCCTCGGAAAGGGGCCCTCTCCTACAGCCCCAACCTGGGCTCCAATGCCCGGCATCGTGGACTAGAAGGTGGCAGTCTCTGCAGCCCACCCACCAGGGCCCAGCTGCAGGGCTATCAAAAGACTCCGTTCTGTCACAAACAGACTGACCAACATCTCAAGAGTTCTTACCAGACATCTGGAGCACTAACTCTGAGGGGCAACTACAGCAAAACCATCCACCGTCCCTGTGCTCAGACACGCCGGCAAACAGACCTGTGCTCAGTGAGGACGCTCACGGCAGACGGGTGGTTGGCACAGTATGTGAGGTATAGGGTCCTCATCTGTGGCATCAGATTCAGAAAGCAGCCTCCCACTCGCTGCTGGGCCTCAGGCGACCTGGAGACATGGGCACAGAGGGGATGGTTGTCAGTCACGCAGAGATGCCACTGAGTGAGACACATGGGCCTTGCCCTCAACACCCAGGAGAGAGCCAGGGCCCTAGGCCTTGGCCCCTGCCTGTCCCCACCACCACCCGAGCAGCAGGAGGAACTGCAGTCCAGAGGCCAGGGTGGCTCCAGCCAAGTCCATGTTCTCTGGGCAGTGAGAAAGCAGATGTCACACAGACTGACACCCCGAGGAGCATCACTAATCCCTAATTCAGGAGCATTATCAAACACGGTTATCCAGCCGGTAAGGTTTCCACCAAAGCAGCATCAAGGACGTCACAAAAACAGTACAAAGGGCACCCTTCACTCAAGATAACAAAGGCTGGAGATGGAGCATCTGCGAGAGCCGCTGCCCACCAGGCCAGCCAAGGGGACCGTCGGCTGCATTGAAGAGGCGAAAGCTCACAAGCAGGGAACGAATGGGGCACAGATGAGAACCCTCACTCAGGAGCCTGGCGGAGGTCCTCCCTCTCTCTGCTTCCCCTCCGCCTTGCCACGAGTGCTGCACACCTCTGCCACCCCTTGGGCCACAGTTTCCTCCTTGAAGCCAAGGACTAAAAGAGTAGCCAGAGTAAGCCTCTCCTTCTTGAAGCTGTGGGTGCCAGGTATCCTGTCCCAGCAATGAGGGAAGTAACTTATCAAGGGTCCCAGGGATCGCAGGGTGTGGGAACGGCCCCCAGCACCCTGATCAGAACGTTAGAAACAGCCGTTCAGAGCTGCGGGAGAAACACAGGTCCACACAAAGACCAGAGCTGGAGCTCGACAGCAGCCCAGAGACTCCACGGCGTGTGCGACCCCACCCACCAGAGTCCAGCCCCAGCCTAGGCCTGGGAGGGAGCCTCCTGCTCCATCTCCTTTCCGACTGAGGTTACGGTGACCTCCGGGAGAGGCTCAATGGCTGGGGCATGCTGGGGCCCGCCGCGCAGGCATGTCGAAGCAGGAGGTGCAGCTGGAAGGCTTGCGCTGTGACCTAAACCCCAGCCTGGGCTCCGGGATGGGTGGGGTCCACACCTCCCCAGCTCCACAGGCCTGCTGCCCCCACCAGGACACCGTACCCAACAGGACTCGGACCTCATCCCAAGTCCTCTCCCACATCCTGCCAGCAGCGGCACGGCAACTGTCAATCAGCTCAACTCACTCACATTGGCTTTACACTGCCACAAAGCACAAGCTGGAAATCCTACATGCAGTGGTTTCAACTGTTTTATAAAAATAGTTCAAACAAACATCCTGAGAAATGAGTCTCCGGAGAAGGAGATGCTTCTGATCTTCAGGTTGTTTTCAGCACTGGTTAAAAATAACAAGACCCAGGTCAGCCAATGCACTGCCAGGGACACGAGAGGCCAGACACTACTGCACCTCTCTCCGTCCTGAGCCAGCACCAGGGGCATCTGAGGCTGCACCTGCCATGTCACCCGCAGACCAGGGCCTTCTGGAAACTGCTTCCAGGTAGCAGAGAACGGCCAGGCAAAACCCAAAAAACTCTGCAATGAGAAGGCAGCTGCATTTGGTACAGGACAGACAGCAAAAGAAAGGTGGCACAATTGCTCGGCCTGAAGCAAGGAGGGCAGGGAGACCGAGAGGCACAGACAAGACGAACTTGAGGGCATGCCAGCCTGCCCAGAGCACGTGACAGGTGCTGGTGGAGGCCAGGTCACGCACGCACGCACGCACACACGCCGTAAGCTGAGCAGAGAGGCACAGGCGCAGTGCTGGCCCTGGGCACCGACCACGGCGCCTGTCAGAAACGCAGCAGACACTGAGCCCCATCAGCACCAGGCTGCCCCTCAGCTCTGCTCTGCTCAGAGCTCGAGTTTGTGCTCTTTCTCAAGTATCAGGAGAACACACGTCCTCACCATAATACACTAAAGAATGAAACTCGGGGGCCAGGGATTTAGCTCACTGGCGCCACCACCTGCCTCATAAGCATAAGGTCCCGGGTTCGATCCCCAGTACCGGAAAAAAAAAAAAAAAAAGAATGAAACGGCAAGATAAGAATGTTCCAAGGGATAACCACCTTTGAGGTTCTATTTTCAACAGAATTTAACCTGCTGTTCACAATGAAGTACAAGAAAATTGCCAATTTATAAATGGGTTTTATTTGAAAGATTTGCTTTGAAGACACTGTTAATCGCCAGACACCATTTTCCTGTAGAGGCAATCTATGAGCCACAGCTCCACATTCTCAGATCAGCATTAAGTGGTATGGAAAGGAACAAGTTCTTTCAAGAAGAAAAACTCTTTAAATCCATCTGCTAGGAGTCCCAGTGACCCAGGATAAGGAATTCTCCACCAAAGGGAACTGCACTTCCAACAGGGCCCTGGCCCCTGTCTGAGTGCACGGCTGGCCTGGCACAGGCCCTCGGCGCCAAGTGCCTCTCCATGGCAAAATGCCCGCGATGCCAGCAGGCAGGGTTCCCCAAATCAGCCCTTCCTGCTGCCCTGTTCGTGTGACACAAGCACGCCGTCACCTCCTGGTGGGGTCAGCAGAGGACACACACATTAACATGGGTGAGAGAGCTGGCCTGGTACATGTGAGGGGCAGGGTCTAAACCTCAGCACCAAAAAAAATAAAAACAAAAACTGTTCAGGCCAGGTTGGTGACACACGCCTGCAACTCCAGTACTCGGCAGGCTGAGGCAAGAGAATGGTGAGTGCAAGCCCAGCCTGGAGCTTAGCGAGCTCCTGTCTCAAGACAAAAAATAGCAATGATAGCAATAAAGTACAAGGCGCCTGGGCTCAGTCGACAGCACCATAAATAAATAAAGCCAAAACGTCCCATGAACAGTGGGCATTCACACAAAGCTCACCCCACACAGTTATGTACGAGCCTTACAGAAAGTGAAGTAAAACCCCACAAACGTGTCAGGTGTATGTGGCACCTCACATTCTACCAGCTTTTCTCAGGCCAGGGTCAACTCACAAGCAGAAGACAGTGCTGGATACAGCCGCCCTTCCAGGCCCTGCAGCCGCACACAGGCACAGGGTGGCAGGACACCTGCTACCTCACAGTCGGGCGTCAGGCGCCTCCTCCCTTCCTCCACCAAACACCTTAACGATCAGCACCCCAGGGGCCGCAGATGGAGCTCAGTGGTCCCCGGCACCAAAAAAAGAAAAAACAATCAGCACCCAGAAAGCCTCCCCTTTCTTTGAAGATTCATGGTGCAGAAAATCAGTCTAAATACTGGCTCTTAAAGATGATTTACATGAAAAATGTAAAATAACCTAATATATGTCCTAGAATTATGTTAGACTTGATCCTCTCAATACCAATTATTCCAACCTGCATCTTGCAAATGTCTAGCGTTACTCACTTGGCGCATTCTTCCAAAGACTGCACAAGCATTTGCTGGAAAGAGCAGATCTCCTCTAGGTTCCCCATTAGATATGAAGTGTCTGCTGAACTTAACCTAGAGCCAAGAGGAAACAGCAGTAAAGGTGTCGACGGCCTCACCCACATTCTCCCTTCCCACCCCTCCGGGCTCCCACCGCCCTAACCTCACAAGCACACTGCCAAGTCTACGGCCAACTCCGACACCGGATGCCTTTCCACTATTTCAACCTTATTTGCTAAAAACCCAAGCAAGCAGCCCAAGTGAGGACTATTGCATGCGTTTATTTCAGCAGTTTCTCATGCCGCTTACTTCTCACTGGTCTGCAGTGGCCGCAGGTAGGCTGAAAGCACAGTCTGAAGTTCTTGAGAATATTCGTTCTCTGTTTCTAAAATATTCTGCAGCACCTGCAACACAAGGCGGAGAACCATTAACACTGCGAGTGCCACTGGACGGAAATCTGTGTGGAAAGAAAGCCCGTGGCCACTGACCTTGTGCCTCCGGCCGTTGTTCCTCCCAACAGCAACACTAAGGCTCTGCCGCGAAGGCCCGCCGAGCTGCCCTGACCTCACTTCACCGGGTGGCACACACTTGGCACTGGTGTGCCTACAGCAAGCCACGGTGAACACCCTCAGACAGGAGGGGCCACCGACAGTGGAACAGCACGCAGAAGCATGAGTCTCTGCCGCGCAGGGCAACACAAAAGCCGCCATTCAGTGTGCTCACCCTGCCTGACCTCCCTGTATTACGTCCAGGGCAGGCAAGCCTCCTCCTCAGGGACAGAAGCCAGGAAAGGCAGAGGGCAGGGGCATGAGACAAGCTTGTGAGTGACGGGGTCTAGACTCTGAGTGGGTACTGATTACACAGGTAAGTAACTGCCAATGCCCACTGAACTGTACTTTTAAAATCTATGCACAATAATATAGAGCTGAGTATTCCTAACTAAAAATTCAAAGTGCTCCAAAACCCACCCAAAATTGTTTGAGCATTGACATGATGGTCAAAGTTGGAAAAGTTTCGGATTTTGGGCCATTTCAGATTTTCAGATTAGGAGTACTCAACTGGTAAAGTCTATGCAAATATTCCAGAATCCAAAATCTGAAACAGCTCTGGCCCCAAGCATTTTGGATAGGAGATACTTAGCCTGCATGCAAAATACATCTCAACTGAAAATCAGAAGTTTACTCTTTAGACGGGATCTGAAAAACTGAAACCAACTGCTGGAACTTTTCGTTAAAGAATGTGATAGTCTTAGGTCATGCTACACATACATCTATTAAACTTAGAGATCTATCAAAGTAAATTACCTTCCAATAGTCTCTACTGTTTAAAGAAAGCAGACTAACTACAAATACTAACCTCAAAATTAGAATGTTTCCTGATACCCTGTATTAGCGTAGCAAATTTAGCTAAACTTAGCTAACGTCCCAAAGCTGACAGCTCTAAGATGGAAAACAGCTGAACTAAAGCAAACATGTCCCATCAGCAAAGGCCAACAGTGAAGGGCAGGAAGCCACTGGGATTTGGGCAGGGCCCAGGCCCTGAGCGGTGGCCACCCTGACTCCAGTGGACATTCGTTGGCTGCCTGGCCCCAAGCATGCTTTGCAGAAACCAGCTCAATCCCCGAAAGGTGCCTGCTCTCAGAGGTGAACCTGTCCCAGTCAGACAGCGGAGAACAGCAAGGCGGAAAGAGGCCTGGGACCCTCCCTCCACCCCGAAGCACAGCGCCACTCAGACAACCGATGTGGGAAGGCACGCGGCTGCCCTAGGCCCCTCCACCCCACCCGCCTGACCAGAGAGTCACAGTACAGGTCTCTCCCGAGCACCTGCCACGTGCTCTGAGATGCACTATCGTCTCTCCAAACTATGAGAGACAGTGCAGAAGGGGCCCCAGATCAGCTGTGCCGTCTCCCTCCTGCGATCTCAGAGAATCTAAGCATGGGATGAACACCAAAGGACAAAGTCCCTGCTAAGCCGAATGGAAACTCCAGCCTTCATACTGGAGGAAAGCAGCCTCGATCACTCCCGGGCCCACTGCTGGCCCTGTGGCCTCGGGGAGGGCGCGGTCACTCAAGAGGAAACAGCACTGCATCACGTTACCCGGTGGAAACCAGAGGGTCGAAGGCCACAGCATGAAGACAAGGACGCTCCCAAGAGACAGCACCGGAGCCCCTCGCAGGCCCCTGCGCCACGGGATAAACATGTCCAACTCGCCAGGCTGACTAATTTCAGCGGCTGGCCTTATGCTCTCCTCTAACTGGTGCTGAAGATCACCTTAGGGCACTCCCACCACATTAGGCACACGCACACACCCTGGGACCGGGCCCTGGGCTGCCACCCTTCCTGAGAGGCAGTGACTCTCGGGCAGCAAGACCTGTGCCGCGGCAGCCCGGCACCTCGACCCTCGCACCCCGGGGGTGGAACAGGAAAACAGTGCTGCTCTCAAGGAGTGGGCACCCTCTGCCCCGAGCTGAGGAAGAACCGTTCCGCCCGACGATGGCACCACACAGCAGCCTCAGAAATGTGCCTCCTCAATGGGCGCCTTGGAGCCCTGGGCTCAGCAGATGTCACTGAGACAGGAGAGGACGCCACCCTGAGCCTCCAGCATAATATACCTCGGTTACCTCAGTCACCCTCCACCTCTGAGTGCCACTCAGTTTCTTCGCCTCTGGTAACCCTAAAATTGCTGTGCCATCACATTCCCTGTGTTGCCAACCGTCCTTCACAGATACACCTGTGACTTATGTGTGTGGGATCCATCTTTTTTTCTTTTGGTAACAGGGATCGAACTTGGGACCTTGCGCTTGCGAAACAGGCACCAAAACCACTGAGCTAAATCCCCGGCCCATGTGGGATCCATATTTTAAAGGTCATCACCATCACAGTACGAAACATAACCCTGTCCACAGCGACTCCAGACCCTGCCCTCACCCGCCAGGCCTGCAGCCACTACCACCACCGACACAGCCCTAAACACCTTCCTCCGAGTCTGCTCTGTCTCCGCTCTGAAGAGATGAATGCCAAAGAGGGCTTCGGCCCCTGACAAGCTGTTCTGAGATGAGGGAGGCTGTAGGCGGAGCGGCCCCTAAACCCTTTGCTGGCTCATGACCTGCAGGCCGCAGGGACACGGAGCGGGGACAGCCCCAAGACGCTGTGCTAACGCTGCCTGGTGGCTGTGGATGTTCTTACTGCCAGCTGCCACTGACTCACTCACAGGAACTGCTCTCAGAGCCAGGAAGGGGCCACAGGAATGTCTCCATTTTGTCTGTGTACCTTGCACAAGAAACTGCTGCCCCAGTATTTCTAAACTAGGGAAGTAACGGTGCCCAGCCTGTGTTCCTTTCAAAGGTTAAATGTCCCCAGACGACATGAATGGGTGCTACATGTCTCAGGCACACTCTCGTGGTGGGTACAGAGCCAGGACCAGGGCTCAACACCTGCTCCAGACTACTACGGTGCAGAGCCCGCTCTGCTGTCTCCTTTGTTTAAAAAGGGGGTGCGCAGGCTTAGGCCAAGAGTGTCCACCCCAACTGAAGGACGGAAAGCACCCACCCCCACCTCCTACACCTCCCGACTGAGCCAGGACCACATGAGCCTGCAGTTGGGAGCCTCCTCAGGCGGAGGTCTTTCGGTCAGTGGAGCCTGCCTCTGACCCTGCCCAAGCCTTCACACTATCTCCGTCAGTGCACAAAGCCAAGGAGTGGCCAAGAGTGAGGAGATGGCAGCACTCACCCCCACAGAAAACACGGCAGGGCGTGGGAAGGGAGAAGCAGCTCCTGCAGAGCCTTGGGGAGCCTCCAGAATACCCCAAGGCCCGGTGGCCAAAGTCAAGCCACTTGCGGGGGCCCCAGGAGCCCTCAGGGGTCACGGCACTTAAGGAAATCTGGCAGAGTGGAGAAGATCAGAGAAAGGTCAAAGCAAGAGAGGCAGAACTCAGGCCGGACTGGTGATGATGGGTGTAGACCAAAGATGTCCTACCTCAGTTTCCCGCCTTGGCCTGGCACGCAGGGCCTGCAGGCCACGGAAGGAGCCAGCAAGGGCAGACAGGTGCAACATCTGCTGTGTCCATTTATAGCCTGAAACCAGGGCAGCCCCTCTCGCACCTGCAGGACCTCAAAGGCGAGGTGAGGCCAGACACAGGTGGACAGAGCGCTGCTTCCTGCGCGGACACAGTAACTCAGCAGAGGCAGGTGTGCACAGGCTGGGGCGGGCAGCCCGGAGCGGCGACTTCCTACTCAGCAGGCTGAAGAAAGCGTGACCTCTAGTGGTGACTGAGGATACCTCACCCCCGGCCCACTCGCTAGTGAGAGGCGTGGCGCCCTTCGTGGGTGGTGACGCTGGCGAAAGATGCCTGTCTCACACAGTGGTATGGCTATGGGCTCTCCCAGACCCACCCAGCGTGGCACAGCAGGTCACAGGACCAGGCTGGGGCCAGCGTCACCAGCCTCATCTTACCAGGGGCTGCCTCCAGGGCAGCCTAAGGGCTGTGCAACTCAGCAGCAGGGACAAGGAGACCAAGACCCCAAGGGCCTCTGGCACAGCAGCAGGACAGCCCAGAGCTGCAGGTCGTACAGTGTTCGCAGAGGGGACACATCCTGGACGTGGGCAATGCCGAGGACCCAGCAGGGGCAGATTCACCGGAGGCAGGTGGCAAGAAAGAAAAAGGGTGCGGGAATGAGACCCAAAGAGCTGCTTTCTAAGGAAAATCAGGACCTGATGCAAGCAAACAAAGAACTCCAAGGCCGAGAAGAGGAAGAGGGAGAGGTGAAAAGGAGCTCTTGCATCCGCCCCCTGGAGCCCCGGCAGGACTGGGGGGCTCCGGGCCAGCCCAGTGTGTGGCAGCGCAGACACTGGATGAGGCTGTGCCACGAACCTGCTGTGTCTGAGGGTCCGTGCTCGGGAGGAGCTGAACACTCGGACCCCAGCCCAGGACGGGCCCACACGGTGGGGCCCATCCAGTCAGATCCACCACCTGTTTTTATGAGGACAAGGCTCGAGAGGCTGAGCCCGGGACCTCTGCACTGAGCTACGTCCCCAAGCCTTTTTATTTCGAGATGGTCTCACTAAATCACCTAGGCTGGGCTCGGCTCGAACTCACGACCCTCCTGCCTCAGCCTCCCAGAGGGCTGGGATGCTAAGTGTGCACACCACGCCTGGCTTCTTAATACAGGGACAGAGAACAAAGCATTCCTGATAAAAGGCTGTTGTAAAGAATACTGAGCTGCTTTACATCAAAAATGCAAAGGCTTCCTGTGTTCCCATCTACAACTCCTGACCATCAGTAAAGCTGGGAGTACAGGAAGAAAGAAGAAAACACACATTTTCCACAGAATCTCCACACACGTGCACGTCTGGAAGGCTGACTCTGCCGCTATCACATGAGCAACCAAGACTTGTATCTGCAGAAGGACTGCGAGGTTCTACTCCTGTAGCACACGCAGCTGATGGGGAACCATGGCTTAGGCCCTCAAGCTTCCCACCCCAGACACTCGGTTAAGTTTCAATACTCGGCAAACTTCAGGACACAGAAGCACTGGCTCTACTCGGCACAAAGGCTCTGCGCCCTCCCAACTCCACGCCCTCCAAAGTATACACAGCATTCTTGGGAAGACCCCACTGCAAACGCAAAACGGACTAGAAATGCTACTGCTCTGGAAGACTGAACCCAGGCCAGAGACTGACACAGTGGCACCGATGCACACGAGGGTTACATCACACTCCACACCTCTGCTCTCATCTGTGAGACTGGTAATGCTGCGGGAGTAACCACAGCATCTGCAAGGCGTGGTGGTGCCCGCCTGTAACCCCAGAACTCAGGAGGCTGAGGCAGAAGGATTAACGAGTCTGAGGTCAGCCTGGGCTGCATAGGGAGTTCAAGGCCAGGCTGAACTACATACCGAGACCCTGTCTCACAAAATTTTTTTTAAAAATCACTGCATCTCTGTGACCAAAGAAAAGCACAATTCCACACATGCAATGCTAAGATCGGCATGAAAGGCCCCGAGGGCAAGATGACTCTCCCAGGCTCTGGGGGCTCTGTGTGGTGTGCTGGGTGACTCACTTCCTCCTCCCAATCCTGGGAGCTGCCTCAATGCTCACGCTTCCTCCCCACCTCCGAGCTTTCAAAGACCGTGAAGACGGCCGCAGCACTCACCACATTGTAATAGCTCTTGTTGATGGCGCTCGTGTCGAACCCTTTGGGAGGGCTCTTCAGCGCCCCCGACTTGGGGGAGACCGGCTTCTCTGCAACAGAAAGGGAAGGCAGTTACTGACCACGGCAGAGGAACAGAGTGTGCTGTTTCCCTTCCACACCCAGTAGACCGAGCTACAAGGATCGCAGAGAGGGGGACACAAGGGCCCCTCCGTGACAGCCAGGCCCCAGACCCAGCTCTGCACAGCTTCCCTGCCCCAGCCCAGCCCCGGTCGGCGATGTCGGAGACCTGATGCTCCATGAGGCAAGTGGCAGCCCCTCAGCTGCACATGGAGCTTTGTCCACTGACAGACTGCGAATCTGTGCAATCTGCTTACACAGCAAATCTACTCCCAGGATGCTGCAAATATAAAACGTGAGCTGAGAAGAACAACAGGAGAGGGTGGCAGGCAGGGAACAGCACTGCAACATCCAGACCCAGGCCTGGGGCTGCATCTGAGGGGTTCAGAGCATTCCATGGAAAAGGCCTCTCTGAACAAGTAGGAGCTGCTCAAAGCTGAAAGTAATCTCGTCACCCTGGAGACAAGGAACGGGAAGTCACCTCCTTGCTCCAAAACCAGGTGAAAACCAACCAGCCAGAGAATTCCAAGCCGCACACAGAGTACAAGCAGTCAGGAAGGCGGCCGGGACTCCAGCGGTCTACAAGGCGCCGCCCTTGAGCAACAGCCAGCTCAGCAGAGCTCAGTCCAGCGGTGCAGGGGAGGACGCACAAAACTGCCACACCAAGCTCCACCAGCTGGCAGGGGAGTGGCACACCTGGCTGGCTCCCAGGGCAGTGGGCATGCAGTGTCCCCCATTACCGCCCTGAGGGGAGGGAGAAGGGGCGGTGTCTGGCCCTAGTTCTGGGGAGGGCTGGGTGTGTGGGGCCCACCAGGACTGCTGTGGAGTCTGTCTATACTGGCTCTCTGGGGTGGGTGGGTAACACTGGCTGTCTACCAGCTGGGGGCGCGGGGACAGGCTTCTCCCACACCCTCCGCCGGGAATTCTGCCGGGCCCCTCGCCGGGCACTCTACTCCCACAGTCCCCTCGTGCCCGGGCAGCCCGCAAGGCCCTCGCTGTGTGGATGTTAGTGTGGGACAGCACTGCCCGCTGCCTCTCCACTCCACAGCATCCGTGTGTACTCTCACAGGCACGGCTGCTCTGCTCTCGGCATCCACTCGGCCACAGAAGCCGCGGGGATGCACCGCCAGAGCTTGGGAGCCTTTGCAGTGCCTGACGCTCGCCTCAAGGCCTCCTGCCAGGTTTCCAAATGATGGAAGATGAAGAATAACCAGTAACACATTGAGAGAACTCTGTCCACAGGACAGAGAGGAGCTCCATGCACGGGAAGCAAATGACTTCCAAACCGTACGTAATACAGAGGGAAACCATTTCCCTTCTCCATGCAGGCCTGCTAGATGTAGAGAAGAAAACGACACAATGTTTTACACTAGAAGAAACACGTGAAGCCTGCAACTCAGGGCCAAGACACAAGTGGACCGTGACGGTGAGGGTGAGGGTGACGCCGCCGAGGCCCAGTCCATGGAGCCCAGAGGAACGCACACGTTGTGTCGGTGTCGGCAAGACCAGCTCCACAGAGGTGGCCGGAGTCTGCTCTACTAAGAGCACTCCATCTGCCAGCTGTGTGACTAAGACGCACCTCACAACTGAAGCCCTCACTTAATGAGGTTCGATCACCACCATCAGGACGGGTGGAAGGGAGCAGACACACCAGGGAAGCCCTCCCTAGCTGTCGCTTGTCCCTGTGGCCGGGACGTGCAGACGCCGGGGTGAGGGAGGTCTCACAACCACATCCCCAGCATGCCCAAGCCCTGCCTCGAGTGCCTCACGGGGTCGTGGCCACATGGACAGCGCCACCTGCAACCCAGCCCACTGGCCTGCTGCGGGGCGTCCCTGTGAGCCACTGCCCCTCAGACCCCAGGGGCCACTCCTCACTCATCCCCACCACTGGTGCAGGGCTGAAGGGGTGGCTGCCAGGAAGACTCAACAGGAAACAGGCAGCAGGACACAGGGACCCCAGGCAGCTTGGGGTCTACGGAACATCCCCAAGGAGGAGCCTGCAGGCAGCAAGAGGGAGGGAAGCCAAATACACACAGCCAGGAAAGAGTTTGAGACACCAACCCTCTCGGTGCCCTAAGGAAGACACTTCTGCCCCATCCGATAGCCAAAAATCTAACAAAACTCCCTGGTCCTGTGTGTGGGGAAGGGTTAGGGTCCCTGTCCCGCTGAAGAGTGGGGAGCGCTGCAGCATCCAAGGGCAGGGCAGGATGCAAAGCTCCCTCGGGGGGGCAGCGCAGGGCCACAGCCCCATCCCAGCAGGAGCTGACAGGCCATGCGGGGGATGCAAGGCACCTCTGTGCACTCGTCCAGAGCCCAGAGCGCCTGGGCGTGCATGGGGACACAACCTGTGAGGAGTGGGACCGGGCCCACGCGCCCTCTCCGCTCCTCGCCACACCACCAGGCTTTCCCTAGGAAGCCCGCTCCTCCTGCTGGAGCCCTCCTCAGCAGGGGACGGAGCACACGCCTGCAACCTCGGGGCCAGAAGCAAACCCACTGGAAACAGTGCCAGCCACACAGAGCGAGGCCCAGCCCTGTCGGGAACCAGAAGGCAGCACAGCGATCAGCAAGACGACACGAGAGCGGTGTTCACAGTGGCGGGGAAGAGAAGAGGGCAGGCCCTGGGCGAAGGTACTATAAACATCAAGCGCATCTGGAAAAGAACGGAGCAAAAGCTCTAGAAATAAATACCAAGGCCACTAAGATGGAAATCTCAACGGATTTAACACCATGGAGGTAGGAACAAAAGAACCCAAATTTCACACTCTGAGCAAAGGATTCAACTTTAATCCAGTGCAACAAAGAAATCAGAAAAATAGGAGAAGCAGGTTAAAAGACACAGAGGAAAAAATATGACACCTAACAGGACTTTTCAGGAGAGAACAGGGGAAGAACAGGAACCAGCCTGGAGAGGCCACTAGCAGATGAAGGAATGTTTCCCGCCGGGCCTGAGGCACAGGCTCGCGGGCCCCAGTGTGGCTGCCTCCCTGCCGGCACAGCAGTCTCAGGCCATTCCACACACGAAGGGCTCCTGCTCACCCACCCTGCTTGGGCACAACACGGATCTCTGCTCCCCGAGCCCCCACCAGTCCGCTGCTTCTGGCAATGCATGCAACTGGCCACAGGAGCGTGGGTCACCAGGCTGGAGAACAGGCTCGAGCTGACCGCCCATACCTCCCCATCAGGGCATCCAGCCTGTCCAGTGGGACCCGCTCTGCAGCAGAACAAGCCGGGACGTGGTCAGTCATTTCCAGCCAGGCCTCTCCTGACTGGGTTTTCTTTAAGGGAAGGGAAGCGCCCCCTTCTCCATCTGGAAATGTTTTCACGGTGCCGCTGCGGCTTTCCCCGTAACCTGGCCACAGAAACCCACCTGCACACACAAAAGCACGGAGCAGCAGTGCAATGTGCCCATCCAGCCGGTCTTACTGCAGACCCCTGCCCTGACTGGGAGGTCACTTCAGGAAATCCCAGAAACGCTGTCATTTTGCCCATCTTGTTGCAGGGACTTTTTCTGGAATCAAGACCCTGACACGCGGACATCGTCACATCTGACAGAATTGAACCTCGGTCCTATCTAGTGCCCAGTCTACATGCAAGCCCCCTCATTTGTCACAGCAGTGACAAACTTTTGCGGCCGGCTCCCGGAATCGGGGACAGGGCTAGCTAGCCAGCACACCCGACTGCTGCATCTCTAAGGCTCTTTCAGCCTACACAAGTGTGGCCTTGACTTTTCTTCAGCTGCCAGCAGACAGCACGGGACACCGCCTCCTCTCTCACCACATGAGCCACTCTGGCCACCTCCACTGGCCAAGCTTCTCATTTCATGGACAGGAACCCAGGGACTGACCCCTGCCAGTGTCCTGCTTGTGGCAGTGCTCACTCTAGGACGCATCTGCTGAACGGACGTCAGCATGGGTTTAGGACCAGACGAAGGTCCGGACGACACTGGCAGCGAAGCAGTGAGGAGCCAGTGGCTGGAGGGGAGAAGGGCAGAGAACACGCCTCGGTGCCCTTACATTGTGAAGCTGGGCTCAGGTAACAGCCACATGCTGGTGAAATACAGTGGACGCACAGGCTCTGCTCAGCCCAGCAGGGCAGCAGCAGCAGCACCGGACACCGCAAGCTCGGAGGGAGGGAAAGGGGAGGCGCAGGCCAGGAGGGGGACGAATGAGCAGGACACACACGCCAGAGCCCACATCTGCACATCCTGTGAGGATGCGGGGGACGAGCAGGGCAGTCCTGGCCCTGGGCAGGGCCTGGAGGCAAGGGGACACAGGTACATCACATGTATCGCTTCACCACAAATCAGAAAAACTTTCTCAGAAAAGGACATCTCCGACCCTGGAAAACTAACCACCGGGTTTCAAACTGCTCCCCACAATCTGCCTGTGTACCACAGTCACATTGAACTCTGCTCACTCACAGCAAGATGGATAACTGTACCAAAAGTCAGAGGCAGGCTACCACATTTTGTGAAAAATAAGCAAGAACTATTACAGAGTTACTTAGGAAGGTGGGGGTGTGAATGCTCATTAAACATCTGTAGACCAAGCCAGGTGTGGTGGAGCACGTCTGTAGTCCCAGCACTCAGGAGGCTGAGGCAGGAGGATCACTGCAAGTTCAAGGTCAGCTTAGGCTACATAGTGAGTTCAAGGCCAGCCTGCTACACAGTGAGCCCGTCTCAAAAAAATAAAAAAGACTTGTGGACCAGCAAGCGATGGTCCCTTTTGAATTCACACAAGCACAGGTTATGAGTCATCACCGCAAGCCAGTCAGGCCCTAATTAACATTTAAAATAAATGCATTTCTCAGACAACAAGTAATGAGCTGCCCAGAATTGCAGAATGAAGGTCAACAGAGCGGAAACTGTCACCTACAAGGAACCCAGTGAGTACACTGGCGTGTACCGCAAAGTGGGGTATAAGCCCATGGGGCTCGATACCTGCTTCCAGCCCCTTGGCCTCTCTAGTGCTTC